CAACAACAACAAAACCCAAAAGGGCTGCAGAGATGACTCAGTAGTTAGAGCACTGGCTGCTCATTGAGAGGACCCAGCACCCACACTGCAGCTCACAACTCTGTCACGCCAGTTTTAGGGAATCTGACACCCTCTGCCGGCCTCTGTGGGTAGCAGGCACGCACGTGGTACGCAGACATATGTGCAGGCAAAACACCTGTACACATAAAAATAAAAATTAAAAAAAGAAAAATACTCTGATGTCAGGTAACCGAGTTCCTAAAAATGACTGCTCCTATTTAATTGCAGACTGTCATCAAATCATTTAATTTCCCCATATAAACCAAATCACTCCTTATCTTACTTCTTAGCTGTCAAATGGAGACAACTCCTGTTTTGCTGACCTAAGACTGAAGTGAAAAGATACCCCTCAACAAACATTTTAAGAATAGTTGATAAAGCCCTGTTAAGTTCTAGATTATAAGATGAATACCCACAATGATCAACATGCTACAATATTGTAACAACAGTTTATCCTAGAAGAAACGCTACTGAGTCTTGAATCATAAAGGACAAAGCTAGTGTGTTAACTTGTCCACTAAGACACAGCTAATCTACTCATCACTGGCACTCCATAATTTTTGTGAAAGACCAAAAATGTACTAGCCACAAATAAAACCCTCCCTGAACAAACAACTATCATTTCTTTAATAATGTGTGTCAACACAGTAATAGATATGTGTGCACAACACTGACGAGGAAACAGGAACTATGACTGGAAATTCACTAAGGGAAAGATGGATGGAGGATGGCTTCTCAACTGGACCTGAACAGGGGAGTGCATGAGGGAAAAGAATGTGGGAAGACGGAGAACACGGGCTAACGAAGAGCAGGTGCAAAGGAAACAGAACAGTCACAACCTGCGGCTCTGAGCTGAGAGGGTCAGAGTCAGCATTAGTATCCGTTCATCAGTCATACACACCAGGCACTAAGTTCCTCTGTACAAAAATCCTGTTAGACATTATAAACTACATTTGACAGATGAGGAAACCGAGGCTCATCAAGGTTAAACAATTCGTCCAATGGCAGTTCAAACAACAATAAACTAACCTAAAAGCACCCCGATGCCAAAGGTAACACGTTAGAAAGCAGACAGAGAGAACAGGGGAAGTTGTGTTGCACGAGGGCCAGCTCTGAGTAGAGCTGTCTCTTACTTGCTCACCACTACACACAGTCCGCTTCCTGGCCTGACAGCCTCATGGGCAGCACCCCTCCATCTGTCACACATGGCTACTGAAAGGGCCCCAAGTTGCAAGCAACTCCACCCCTGAATACTTACTGCGATGGGAGCACGTAAACAGTGTATGCTGGGGGGGGGGGGTAATTACCCACTCTTTGAACAAGATTAAAACTTTTTCACATGCGCTACTCTATCATTAATGCCTTCTTCAAACTGTGGGCTGGTCTCTTACAGCCTTCTAGAGGCTCACAAGCACTGAATTTGGCTTCCTGTCATTGCCTCCCCGAGGAATTCTCACTCAACACAGATCTTACACTTGCTTTCCCATGAGCCAGAGAGGTCCTATCGTCTGTTTCCCTCCTTTTCATTCCCTCCTGAGGGTTTCATCACCTTTCATATCTAATTTACATGTCCCCAGTGTATATGCCAGGCTGTCATTATGACCCACCACAGCCTCTCCTGTCTCTAAAAGATCACACACACCTTACTGTGGGGTCAGCAAAGACACTGAAGTCCCATGAACACAATGCCTATATGGCCCAAAGACCTGGGCATCATACACTTCCCTGATCCTCAATATCTTCAGTTAATTCCTTGTATTTTCATCTTCCTGGCCCTGATAGTTAGGGAGACTTGGGCCAGTGTCAGCCAAGTGTGCCCACCGGCTTGTAAGAGGCAGTCTATCAGGAACCATCCATCTCCTTTGTATCACCTCAGGTTATGCAGCCCTTGTTTCAAGGAGGGAAGTGCAATTATATTTCTCAGTTTCTACGCTTCAGGACACTCAGGCTGATCCCATCTGCTCCATGTCCCGTAGCCTCACAAGCCAGGCTGTGAAAGGCTCCTTCATTTCTTACCTAAGTCTTTACCAACTGAAGCAGTTTAGAGGCAGTGTATCCCCTAAGCAACAGGTTCTTACGTTTGGCCATTTTTAAGGCCTCCATTTTCATGCTGAATTATGGGTCACCTCTGCCCTGCTTCTTCTGTACTAAAAATTAAACCAGAGTAACATCTTTTTATGACTTCTCCCTTATTCTCTCCCTCCTCTATGATCTTTCCCACAAGTTCCAAGGTTTGGATGCCAGAAAGGGCTCTCTACCACAGATTTCATTATGCCCCACTGCCATCCAAAGCAGCAAGCCAATACCTCCATCTCATCACCTTTTCCCACATTTCCTGAGTCATACATAAGCTAATGTGGAGGGTGGCATCACGTGTTCTTTTTCCACCGTAATTCCCCTGTACGCAGTTCTTTCTGGGTAGATAGCGCGGCTTCAATGGCAAGGACCAAAAAGCTGCTGCCTTAGCTGGCCTGTAACCCCGTTCCAAATGTGCTGTTTTCAAACACTGCACTATATTCTCTAGTTCATTATCCATTTTCAGGGCATCTCCACCACGATAGCCTGCTTGTATGGCGAACTCCATCAAAAGGCATTGTACTCCATAGCACATAGAGCAGTGTTTCTCAATCGGTGGGCCTCAGCAGGGACAGGTCAAACGGCCCTTTCACAGAGGTCACCTGTCAGATATCCTGCCTATCAGGTATTTACATTACAGTTTATAACAGTAGCAAAATTACAGTTACTAAATAGCAACAAAATAATCTTGTAGTTGTGGGTCACCAGGACATAAGGAACTGTGTTAAAGGGTCACGGCATCAGGAAGGTTGAGAACCACTCACACAGAGGAAGACAGCCACTCTAGAATTCCTTTCACACATACTTCCACGTTCAGCTTGGCCTCAGGTACATTTCTTATCACCAGATTGTAAGGGTGCTAACAAACCAAAGAGAAGACTCCATCCAAGCCGAGCACGGTGAGCCAATGTGTTTGTTTACTGGAGTTACCTCCAGAAGCACAGACGATTCTCTGGCAGCCGCGTTACCTAAAAGCCCCGCCGCCATGGCACAAGTGAATGCCACAGCACTCCATTGCTACCCCACCTCCTGCATATCCTTGCATGCCCCCTTGCTCAGGACCACATGCAGCTGGGTCAGGGTTATATTAAGCTGGGAAGGGCAAAGGGGGAGTGGCTGGAACTTCTCCTAGGGGTCTACTGACATCCTCCTCCCTTGCTACCCCTGCAATAGTCTCCTGTGGATAATTACAACTGCTCTGATGTCAAGACAGCAGAGGCCATCCCTGCAGGACAGACTTCCACAACTCCTCTTCCATGGTAGGCCAATGATCTGGTCATCTGTTTAGGAAACAGATGGGAAACACCCAGAGAACTGACACATGCAAACCGGTACCTTCAAAGGGGGTAATACAGGGCATACAGGTGACAGTGACAGCATCAGAAAGCAGTGAGGATTATCCTGCAATTGCCCTGGCTGGCTATGAGGACTTGGGCCTGGACAGCAGCCTTAGGGCTGGAGCCTGGCTGTAGGGACAACAGGGGGCAGTGGGCACGAAAGGGGAAACTCCCAAGTTTGTGATTTAGCCGGTGCACTTGGCTAGCTTTGGGAATCTCGACTTCATCCGGACATCTAACGAGGTCTGCATGTGAACCACCTAGTTGAACGTATGACCACAAATTTTAAGAAAACAAAATCTGTCTGAACAAAGAGATCGGTTGTTTATAACCACCTGGAGATGGGACTGGTTAAGTCCAGGAAGACTTGGCAGAATGAAGGTGACAGATGAAGAGAACAGATGCGCTAGCACCAGGAGAGGCCAACTATTAGCGTTTTACGTTGCTGCTGTTTTGTTTTTGGGACACACCCTTCGTAGCCCATACCAACTTGAATTCATTTGTGCAGCCCAGGATGGTCTTGAACTCAGGGCAATCCTCCAGCCTCGGCCTCCTGCACGCTAGAACAATTTAGCTCTCTTTTTAACAGTTACTCGTCTGGACTGAGATCCCACCGTACGTCTGGCTGGCCACCACCCGGGAGGGATTGTCACAATCCTGGGGCTCGCGGTCGCTGCAGAGACCCGGTCTCCCCTTACCCCACCCCCACCCGGACCAGGCCGCGGGCTGCGACACCTCAGGCCGTGCAAAGCACCCCAAGCCCTGAACCCAGGGCTGGCGGCTGCGAGTCTGAGCTCACCGAGGCTGAGATCCGGCGGACACCAAGGCTGCAGATCTCTCCCAAGATCCCGTAGCGCCATCATGACCGTGGAAGTACCGGCTTGCCTCTGCTCCCGCGCGCGCTCCGAGACGTTTCTGCCGACCAGTCACAGCCGTCGGGATTTACAGTCGACCAATCACCGCGCTGGGCCGAGTTCGTAACCTAAGCCAATGGTCTGCTTCGTCCATTGCGTGCGCAGAAGTGGGTGGGGCGAAGGCTGGAGGCTAAACCAGGGTGCAGGAGATTTTTCCTCTAGCATGCCAGTTAAAGTGGGGGGTCAGGACCACACTAGCGTTCTTGTTACCAGGCTTGTCTTTCTTACACGACAGGAAACCCAGAGGCCAGGGGAGACAGGACACTTCCTGTACCAGCAGTCACCTTGGCCCCTGCCGAGTGACACTTGGCGTGCGTGTCAAAGGTACCTCACCCGTCGGACAGCACGCAAGCGTTGTTCATATTCGAACGTGAAGAGTATCCCGGCGTTTGTCGGGCTAAGCAATAAGGGAAATGCAACCAGAAGTATTACAAGGGCGCACCTGCCGTGCTAGGACTTTACGGAACATCTGGGCCCGTGTGCTGCTGGAAAGAAGCCAGGGCCGCCATGTTAATTAAGGGAGAGGCCAGGCCGCCTTTTGGCACCGCACATGCGCAGATGAGCGCACCTCCTGGCGGCCTGGAGGCGGGGGAGCGAGAGGGGGGTGAGAAGAAGACGTGCGCCTGCGCGTGGCATCTCCTTCGCATCCGGGCCGGAGTTCTCCTGCCCCCTCCCCCGCCCGGCGCCGCCGTAGCACTTCGGTGCGTTGCACCGCGGGAATCTAGGCAGTTCGGTTCGCGGCTAGGCGCTGGACCCCACCCGGTGGGCGACGGGCAGCGTGCTTGCGCCTGTGCGCCTGGGCCCTCGCCGCTGCCCCGCCGGGATCTGGGGAGGTACGGTGCCTGGCCTCTCGGTGCATCGCTGCTCCGGGCGCCGCAGCCCGCAGCGGTCTGCCTTGCTCGGCCCTGCCCCTCCCTAGGGGCGCAGGCCGTCGGTGATCGCCCACCGCCCAGCTCAGCGGAGCAGGGCTGCGGTGCGGCGTCCAGCGCGTTCCCGCAGCCGGCCCTCCGGCCTGCCTTCCCCGCAGGCAGCCCGCACCTTGGAGGGAGGGAGCAGTCTGTGCCGACACCGGCGCGGCCAGGCGGGGAGATGAGCTTCTTCGGCTTCGGGCAGAGCGTGGAGGTGGAAATCTTGTTGAATGATGCGGAGAGTAGGAAGCGAGCGGAGCACAAGACAGAGGACGGGAAGAAGGAGAAATATTTCCTCTTCTACGACGGGGAAACCGTCTCGGGGAAGGTGAGCTTATCTCTGAAGAACCCCAACAAGCGACTAGAGCACCAGGGCATCAAGATCGAGTTCATTGGGCAGATCGGTGAGTCGATTCCCTGGGATCTCCCCAAGCCCCCGACGTCAGCCCGCCCCTGGAGTCAAGTGTGGGACGGGCGAGGAGCAGAGATTTTCAGGGCCCAGCTCCTGCGAGGCCTGTGACAGGCTCTTGTCAACTGCAGTCTGAAGCCTGGGGTTCACCCACGAGTCCCGCCCGTGGGCGACTCCCCCATGCATTCATTACCTTCTTCCAAGCCAAAAGTGACAGCGTGCTGCTGGGGAGGTGGGGTCAGCCTAGGAACGGTAGTGAGCCCCCTACTGTACGGTTGGCTGCTCATTTGGTACCTGGGTACCCCCATTGTCTCTGCAGTATGCCCCCAGCTTTGCTTCTTGCACCAGGGATTTCATAGTGAGGTGCTTAGGCAATATCCTGCAGGTGGGTTTGACAGCTACAGCTGTCAGATCCAATCCAAAGTTAAGCGGCGACCCCACCCATCCACAAACACACATATATAGGTCACATATTTACACATATCTACATGTATACATGTACATATATGTGTATATATCTATATATCTATATCTGAGATATAGATATGGTGTGGTAGACAGGGATTATAAAGGTTCTGTTTATCTCACCTCCACTCTGAACTACCTTTGATGTGCATGTTTTGAATACCTTCAGCCTGCCTCCTTCTGAGCTGCCTATATTTCTCAGACTTCTTTATTAGAATGCTGGTTTTTAGTTGTCTGATTTTTCTCTTTAAAGTGAAAGAAGTGATACTGCAAAAATTACAATTAAATGATCAAAAATTTGCAGTACTCAATAATCATCTTCAAAATATGGTTGCTAATTTTACTAGAACTAGACAAGGGAAAGTAGTAAAACAAAAATATTTGGGGAGTCAGCTGAGTGTGGTGGCACACGTCTTTAATCCCAGCACTTGGGAGGCAGAGATCTCTGTGAGTTGAAGCCCAGCCTGGCCTACAGAGTGAGTTCCAGGCCAGCTGCTGTAACACAGTGAGTGAAACCCTGTGTCAAAACAAAACCCCACAAAGATTTGGGAAGCTGCCCGTCATCATGACTGGCTTGTCACCAGTTCTAAGTATTTGGAGTCTTTTGTGTTATCAAACTGCTTCTAAAATAAAATATTTGTGTCATGAGGTCATGGGTAGGTTATGTCTTGTGGATGGTGAACACTTGTCAGAAAATCCCTGCCCTGTACTCCATACTGCACATATGGACACTGATTTTAGAGACTTCACTGGGAATGCTTGTTAAATTCACATGTTAAGAGTTTAGCATAGCATCTGTTCTCTCCCTTTTACAGAGGCAGGGAGCACTGGTAGGAGGAGCCCTGGGAAAAGGAGTCCTGGTGGCCAGATTCTGCAACCCACTGTTTGTCCTTAAGCATCTGGTATTTAAAATGGGAAATCCAGCTGAAGACTGGCTGATCATAAAGGACCTGTTGGGTTGTTTTTAAAACTAGGATGTGAAAGATTTGTTGCTGTGCCAGAAAAGGGCAAGTGTGAATTTTGCACTGGTTGCTCTCCTGCTTCTGGCTTGGACGGCAGGACAGGTGCACTGTTAATTGATATCTGGCGGCTGATCATTGTTGTTGCAGACTTTTCGATGTATCCTCAGCCTTTCCTGTGCTAGAAACCAGTGACATTTCCTACTTTTTACACATAATGCCATGAGATATTGCCCTTGGAGGATAAAATCATTCCTAGTAAAGAATCCCAGGTCTGATTATATAAATCCAAAGCATTTTATGTTAAGCATAACATATGAAATAGTCAATACTTGCCAACTGAGAATTAGGATTTTAAGTAGGAGTTTAAAGTTGCTACATTAGTTCTTTAGCTCTGTAATACCAGTATAAACAGGTATGTTTTAGTCTTTGTCTATACCATCACGCCCTGATTATGAATAACTCAGAACGTCCCCTGCTTCAGACAGTATGAAATGAGCCATTCTAGAAGGAATGCATGGTGTCAAGATTTCAGTCTCTTTTATCTGAATGCAAAGGAGCAAAGAGACTGTTCTAATTGCCCCCCCCACACACACACACACACCAGTCTCTTGCCTAACTCCTTCATTTCCAAGATTGTAACCTTACTGAATTCTCTTAAAACCTTTTATTGCTTCCTGGGATCATTTTCCCTGGGCTCTCGGCACTCTGACCTGATCAGGCTTCAGCTTTGTCAACTGTAAATCTAGAATACTAAAATCACCTGGTTATTAGGATGAGCTACTGGGGGACTGTGTCTCATGTCTCAGAGAGTTCCTTTATAAAGATAAGAGCAGTCAGTGTAGTGACACTTGCGTATCACAAACTGAATTACAGCCACCGGCTCAGTCTCCCCTAGACTTCTTATACTCTTCCCAGTGAGGTTGCCATATGGACTTTCACAAAGTTTATGTTTCAGCTCTTTGCCTTAAAGCTTTTGTGTGTGCCACATGGACTTTCCCACAGCTAGTGGTGGGTGTGGTGCCTGAAGTATATAGTTCGTGTTCATTCCCATTCATTATCCATGGTGACACGAGCGAATGGGAATAGATTAAAACAGAATTATAAGCGGTATATTCATTGTTTGGGCTTGAGGTATATTTCTTGATCAGGGAGAGGACATCAAAAAAACCTTTCTAACCAGACATGATGGCCTATACTTATAATCCCAGGACTGCAGAGACTAAGTCAGGAAGATCTCTCTCGAGTTCAAAGCCAGTCTGGCTTATATAGCAAGACCCTGTCTAAAAACAAAGCAATAAAGAAAAAGCCTTTCTAGATATGTTTGGTATAAAAGTTTATCTTCCCACTCCCCCACCCCCGGCCTCTGTTCCTAAAATTGATTGATGTTAAAGGTGCACCAGCTATTCAGAGGAGCAAAGTCCTTTCCTTAAGTTTCCTATTTCTTTATTATCTTTGTGACTTCTCCAAAGAATCAAGGCATGGCATATTGTGTCATACATCTAAGACAGTTATTCTGAAGTGACTTCAGGGCAGCGGAGCGAGGCGAGTGGGTAGCTCTGTTGAAGTTGTGGTTCTGTGGTTTTTCTCCTTGGTTGCATTCTTTGACTATGTATCAAGTAGGTGAAACTTCTGTCAGGTTATAAGGTCAGGCTATCTGGGTAACTGTAGCTATAAGCAGAGAGAGCGACTTGGCATCTCTGAGTTTCGTCCTCCTTCCTGATGAAGCAGATTGCTTGCTTGTTTGCTTGTTTGTTGGGGTCTTGGAGGAGTTGGAGTCCCTTGTGTCACTCTATAATGGGCTCAGGCAGTCTCTTCTATACCCTTCTCATTAGCTTCTGCAAGGATGAACTCCCTAAAAGACAATTCTCATATTGCTGATCCCTTTAAAGTTTTTTTTTGTTTTGTTTTGTTTTGTTTTTTTGTTTTTACCAGCTCCTTAGAGGGAGTCTATTTTTCATGGAGTTTGTCTCAGCCTGCCTTTCCAGATCCATCTATCTTTAACTTCATCCTCACTGATGATAGCTCCTTCAGATAGCCTCTTCTAGTCAGGCATGGTGCTGCACACCTGTCAGCCTGGCACTTGGAAGACAGAAGCAAGAAGATCATGAGTTTGAGTCCAGCCTGGGCTACATAGTGAGACCTTACCTTAAAAAAATGAAGTAAATGGGGACTGAGAGATGGCTCAGCGGTTAAGAGCACTGGCTGCTCTTCCAGAGGTCCTGAGTTCAATTCCCAGCACCCACATGTCAGCTTACAACCATCTTCCCTTTATATCTTAACATTTTTTTTTTTCTGAAAAGTATGACCTACCCAATTTGTTCTTTTTCTTCAAAGGCCTACCTAGTCACTTTCTCTACTATAAGCTCCAGGGATACCTCTTTTCAAGCAGGTTGTGACTTTGTTATTGTTGGGTTTATTTTGTTTTTTCAGTTGTCTATCTTCTAACCCCAAACGCCAGAGACCGCCTTCAGTCCATCACTAGCCCAGTGGTTGGTTAATCTCTAGTCTCAATGGCTAACATATAAAGTGCTCAGTAAATGTCTGTTAACTGGATAATACTGGTTCAGATCTAAGATTTTACAGAAACCATTTTCTGGAATTTTTTTTCTCATCTTTTTTTTTTTTAATTTTATTTGCATTTATTTATTTTGCCTGCATGTATGTCTGTGTGAGGGTGTCAGATCTTGGAGTTACAGACAGTTGTTAGCTGCCATGTGGATGCTGAGAATTGAACCCAGGTCCTCCAGAATAGCAGTCGGTGCTCTTAACTACTGAGCTATGTCTCCAGCCCCTTTTTCTCATCTTGTGTAGAAGCCAGGAACAAACGTAGGGCCACAGCTATGCCAGGCAAGTAGTCTGCAACTCTGAGCTACATCCCTGGCCCCTGGAATTACTCTAATGGGAGAAAGAAACAGTCTAGATCAAGCAGCTGGGTCTCCTGCACATGCTTGTGTAGGAGACATTCATGAGCTAGCTAGGTGTTCCCCAGTTAAGGCCACAGAGAACTTAGGTGGCATATGACTGTCATGCACCTAATGGAACAGCATCTTCCTGAGGGATTTAGGATGTGAAAACAATAAATCTGATGCCAGCTCACTTGTTTTTGCATTTTTTTCCATCATATTCCTATGTCAAGTTGAAATGACCTCTCCCTGTTTGAGAAAAGAAGAGTTTGCCAGACCTGTGGCTCACTGGGCCCTACAGCAGCTGCTCTGGTGTTACAGTTTGAATGTTGTTCCAAGAGAGTAGTAAGTTCCTCGTTCTCCATTTAGAGTCATATTTTTGTGTCACCCTTCCTAAGTTCTTCAGCTGCTTTGTTACCCTCCCTGTACCTAGCGCACGTCTTCTCATGGCATAGTCTCTGTTGGAACAATTCCAATAAATGTGTCGTGAGGGAAGTCTTCCAGGTTAGACCGGTGGGATTAGCACGATGCAGTAATATACAAGAGCACCCAGGGAACTACGGCATAGTTATAGAAAAGACTGTTTTCCTGCTGCAGTCCTCTGGGAAACACTGTTAGAGAATGTAAGCTAGACTTGGGAATCTTGCAGGCTAATGGGGTTAAATGAACCAAATATAATTAGAAGGTCAAACTTGCAGAGATGGGCAGACACAAATATCCTTATACCCCAGAGCCAAATACATACTTTTCACAGAGTTTTTAATGAGCTCATCAGTACCAATAAGCCTGTACTTTTAAAAACTCCAGAGACTTTTTTTTTTCCTTAAACTCATTTACTTTTGCAATACCAAGTGTAAAAGCACATAGAGGTTAACCGGATTGATTCCAGCAGACTTACTACGTTCTTAGCGGGGCTTAGATTTGCACAGAGCAGAGCTGAGTGTGGACAACCCAGAGGTGTGCCAGGAGCAGGAGCTGTAGCCAGCAAGGATCTTCATCACGTAGTCAGCAAACAGGCTAGGGAAGTTGGATGAGAAGGAGGCTCTTGCTTTATGCCTCTCCCAAGTCCAACATGAAGCCTAGACTGTGTGTGGTGCTCATCCAGCAGCAGGTCCCAGGGTGTCCCAGAGGCTCAGCCTGTGATGTAAAGCTGGCTCAATTTCCTTCTACTAGTGGCAACCTCCCTTCTTGGCCGTTGGTGGCAGGTATTACCACGAAAACATCCTGAGTGCAAAAATTATTTCCTCCTTTTGAGTGAAGAGGGAAACTAATGACAGACGTTACTTGGAAAAAAAAGAGTGGAGTTGAGGGGTTCAGTTTCTGCTTCTCCCTGAAGGGCTTCCGTGTTTGGGATGGAGGAGAGGCTGCTTTTCTGGGCTCTGGAGGGTCTAGGCCTCTTGCTAGAACACTTGGATTTTCTGCCTCAGTATATTCAAGATGAAACCAACCTTCCTGGCAAATAACAGTGTAAAGCAGCTATTTCTGCCCCTTTGGCCACAGTGTTTGCAGAAGCGTTCCAAGTTCTTATGACATTATAAATCAGAAAGGCCATTCCAAGCTAGGTGTGTTAGCTGGCATACACCTTAACCCTAGCACTAGGGAGGATGGATGAATCAGGAGAATGACCATGAATTTAAGGCCAGCCTGGGATATGCATGTAGCAAGACCCATCTCAAGAAAGTAAAGCAATGAAAGGCCGTTCTAGCCCTCCGTGGACCACACTGTTCTCCCGTGGCATTTCGTGTAGGCACTGATACTGATGTGTCCGTGGGAAGAAAAGTGCTGGGGAGAAAGCGATGCTGTACAGAAAAGGACTTCTACCCAAGTCCCCTGCTGGGCCAGGCAGTGTACTTCTGAGCCGTTGCTAGGATCCTCAAATCCTGGCAGCCTGAGCACACTCGGAACCCTCTCTGTTTTGTTTATTCCTCATGTTGCCTTTGGGCTGTATGATCATCGAGTTTGTGGTTTTTTCCATTCTCTCTTTCCATTTCCCTCTTGATGCTACAATTTTCCATTGAAAGTTCACGGGTACTGGGGCCTTGTGCTTCTTACTTGAATTCACTGGCACTGGGGGGGTTGGGAGCTGAGGTAGAGCATTCCTGAGTTAGGGATTCAGTTCTCACATGAGCCAGCGCCAGCTACCAGGTTAGGTCACAAGACTGAGTGGAAGAGTTCCTGTTGCTGAGGAGAGTCAGCTCTGTCCTGCCCTGTCCATCTCTACATGTTCTTACTTCACTGGGGCATAGTTAGTTACTGGGTTGATAACTTGTTCTCACATAGTTTGGAACTACCATCTCCCTTTGGTGGATTTGTAGATTATCACTCACTACCCACCAGGCCACCCATTGCTGAGATCACTTAGTATTTGAAAGAGGAAGTAGATTATATGTAATAAAAGGCTGATGGCTGGGTATGGTAGCACATGCCTTTAATACCTAGTACTCAAAGCAGAGGTCAAGGCCAGCCTGGTCTACATAGCAAGTTCCAGGATAGCTAGGGCTACAGAGATACACTGTCTCAAAAACCAAACCAAAACAAAAAATTCGATCAAAGTATAATGAGGTAGGAAATAAGCCACATATATTAGCCACAGGATACACTGTAAATTTGTATGGAAATAGCATTACTAGAATGGAATTATCTATACTATTACCATTTTCATGAACTGGATAATTGTGTTTTGAGTTTTGTTTGCTTGTTTGCTTAGTTTTGGTTTGTTTATTTTTTTCTTTTCCTTTTTTTTTTTCTGCTCAAACCCAGGGCCACCTCATGCATGCCAGACAAGTACTCAACCACTGTTAATACCCCCAGCTCAAGCTGGGTGTATCTTACAACAGCCCACTCTACTTCCAAATGCCCCCAAGCTAAGAAAAAGCTCCCCATGGGATGAGCATGTCAGGGGGAAGCCCTGTGGAGAGTTGAGGGGAATTTGCACTCAGGTTAAGATTAACAGCTGAGATTGTTTCTCTTTGTCTGGAGATGGTCTTTCCCCCAGGATGGGGCTGAAGACTGCATTGGCATTGGAGAGGCAGGATATCTGGTTTCTTGGGCCCAGTAAGGTTTTTGATCTCAATTGAGGCTTCAGATCTTACGCTGTTGGAGCTGGACCCACAGCACGTATACTGCTCTGAGCAGTCCCGTCACTCCCAAGGGAGACATATGATGCTCTGGAGATGCTGAGAACCAGGACCAGGCTGAAGGGGCAGTGGACTTGTCTCTCAAGCAGCCGTTCCATTGTCCCAGTTCATCTTTATCCTGTGGGTTACAGCACAGTGCTTGAATTCAAGAATATTTGAGGGATGAGGCTTGACCTGTCATGTGGCCCTGCATCATTACAGGTAGAATTCAGTGCTTACAACTAGAAGCCAGGAGGCTGGAGCTATGGGCCTCATCTTTAAAGATCCTTCAGTTCAAAGGAGAAAAGAAGGACCATGTATATCTCAAAACTTAATTCTTAAATTGCAGAATACAAAAAGTCATAAAATAATGGTCATGATAACATGAGTTTATCATGAAGAAATACCAACTGGGTATGAGCTCACATCTATAGTCCTAGGATTTGGGAGGGTAAGAGAGAAGGTTTGCTGTGAGTTTGAGGCTAGCCTATGCTACATAGTGAATTCTAGACCAGGCTGAACTATGGAATGATAAGGCCTGACTTATCCATCTTGCAGGATTACTGAAGGAAGTTATAATAAAGTAACCATGCATTTCCTGTAAAAGTCAGGAATGTTAGAAAAGTGCTCTTTTTTTTTTTTTTCCTCTTGATACATGCTGAAGCTGCTCACTGAATCTGTGCTAACCATCTCAGAATCTTACCTTTTCTGGTGCACAGTCAGTAGATTGGTAACAGGAGCAGTGGCCTGGAGCATCACATTGGCTTTTATGTACTTATTTAGGTTTCTTTATTTTATGTGTATGAATGTTTTGCCTTCATGTATGTCTGTGCACCACTTGCATGCCTGGTGCCCATGGAGGCCAGAAGAGGGCACTGGATCCCCTGGAACTAGAGTTACAGATGGTTGTGAGGTATTGAGAATTGAACCCAACTCCTCTGCAAGAGCAAGAAGTGCTCTTAGCCTCTCAGTTATCTCTCCATCATACTTTTGTTTTTTTGTATCATGGATTCTCACTATGTGAAGCAGAAGAGTCAGCTGGGCATATTTTCCTAGCTATTTGAGACTGTGCTAGGAGAATTGCTTGTGCCTAAGAACTAGTGGCCAAGCTAGGTAATATAGTAAGACCCTGTCTCAAACAAGCAAACAAAAAAGGAAGTGTCTTTGGAGAGGCATGTGCTTGGGGAAATCCTTGGAAGGGCTGGGGTCAGGGAAAGAGAAGAAACCCGAAAACAAGGCCACAGGTCTGGTTCGGGCAGGGCCTCCCGAAGAGAACGGTGCCTCCAGCAGGCGGTGACCTCACTAGGTTCAGTGTAGTCCAGGCCGGCTAGAGGAATCTCTGCTCTCTCCCCAGAACTCTACTATGACCGTGGGAACCACCATGAGTTTGTATCTCTGGTGAAGGACTTGGCTCGGCCAGGAGAGATCACCCAATCCCAGGCCTTCGACTTTGAGTTCACGCACGTGGAAAAGCCGTATGAATCCTACACGGGACAGAACGTAAAGCTACGGTAAGTGGTCTCCGATGTTTCTCTGTTGTAGTCCCGAACCTGACCCACAAGGGCAGGGCCTGGAGCTTCGTGCCTCTTAAGGGTCTCTGTGTAGCCACTAAGAAGGAAGAGTAGTGCAAGCAGCGGGGTGCCAGTCAGTTACCGTTGGGCTCCCTGGGAAAGCCTTCTGACTGTACTTCCCCTGGCCATCTGTGACCCTGAGTACAGTTACCACAGTTACAGGTTTACCACCACCGCACAGTCCCTCCAGACCAACGGCCTCATAGAGTGCAGGAACATGAGGAGGAAGCAAAGGGATTTTAATATGGATTGCCCTTGGTTCTGAGGTAATTCATTTCTTTGTAAGCTTATATAATTTAAATAATAGCCATTTTTAACAACCATTTCTTAAAAGTCTTGAAAATTCGGTAATTGGCTTTCATACCTGAGGTGGCTCCGGGCAGGCAGGCACCTTAGCTTGGCTTCCAGAGGTGCTGACCCCTTTGTCATTTAGCTCTGACACACAACATCACGTCATTTTGGACTCTGTAACTTAAAGCTTTGTCTATTGAAAACAGATACTAGTTTAGGATTCTAACTCAGATCTGTCTTCTCCATCTTTCGGAAGAGATAAGAAAACAATGTAACAGCATAACACTATGGTTGATGTATTGTGCACTCTAATAGACTAGACATAGAGGCCAGACAGTGGTGGCATACACCTTTAATCCCAGCACTTGAGATCTCATGTCTTTGCTTGGGAAGGACATACGCCTTTAATCCCAGGAAGTGATGGCAGGAAGCAGAAAGGTATATAAGGTGTGAGGACCAGGAACTAGAGGCTTTTTAGAGCAGTTCAACTGAGATCCCTCTGGATGAGGACTCAGAGGCTTTCAGTCTGAGGATTTGTGGAAACAGGATCGGCTGAAGAGTTGTCGAGGTGAGGTTGGCTGTGGCTTGTTCTGCTTCTCTGATCTTTCAGCATTCACCCCAATATCTGATTCTGGGTTTGTTTTTTTATTAATAAGACTGTCTAGCAATTCATGTTATATAATACAGTCTTTAAAAGTTAGACACAGGGCTAAGCATTTGGCTTAGTGGTACAGCATTGCCTAGCACATACAAGGGTCTGGGACCCATCCCAGGGGTCATAAACAAAAACATTAATGGGCACAGAAGCACCTGAGATTGTTTTTACTACTACAATCTGGGAAACTCTGAGGAAGGAGACTGATGCTTGGGTATCTGAGGTTAAAAAAACAAAACCCACAGCAGCTCTAGATTCTTAGATTATATGGCATCGCTGGGATAAAGCAGAGTGTCCTGTCACTTCAATCACATGAATCCATCTCACAGGATCTGCTTGTTTTCTTCACCTACAGGCCTGGCCTTAGGACGGTGAGGATTACAGTGAGACCAACATCTCCCTCTTCCTTCTGGCTTCCCTCCCTCCATCAGAACTCCCTCTGTTCATAGACTCTTGAAATATTTGCACCCGGATCCCTGCTAAAGACAGGGACTCATCCTATCACTCCAGAGAAAGCACCAGTGAGGATTATCTAGCAATCACTGAGCTTGGCTATGGGAATTATTAAAAAAAAAATTCTTAACACAAGGTCTTGTTTTGTAGCCGAGGCTGACCTCAAACTCTCGATCCCTCTGCCTCAACCTCTTCAGTGCTGGGATTACAGGTGTGTGCCACCATGCTTGGTAATTCCCACCCCTAACCCAGTGGATTTGCCTTAGTGTTTTTATGTCAGGAAGAAAGGTATTGAAAACAGTAGGGTGGCTCCTCAAAAATAAACAGAGGGCTGAAAACATAGCTCTGTATAAAGCAGGAGCATGTGCATATAGTTAAAGTATATACAAAGTACTGGGCTCAGTCCCCAGCAAAACACACATACATAATTAAACAGAATCACTGTGTGGTCCAGCGATTCCACTTCAGTTGTAGATCCAAAATAATTGGACAGAGTCTGGAACAAATCATCTGACACCTGTGACTGCAGCAGTATTATTCACATGATTAAAAAGTGAAAGCAGGCAGTCATGGTGGTATGTGCCTTTACTCCTAGCAGGAGGAAAACTGAGGCAGGGGATCTCTGTGAGTCCCAGGCCCTCCAGGACTAATAGTGAGACACTATCTAAAAAAACAAACAAACAAAAACAAAACAAAAAACCCAAAAAACAAAAACCTACAATCAGTCAGGCATGGTGGTGTATGCATTTGCAAAACAGAGGCAGATGGATCTCTGTGTTTGAGGCCAGCCTGGTCTACTTAGCAAGTTATAGGTCACCCAGAGCTACATAGTGAAACCCTGTGTCAAAAAACACAACAGCACCAAAACTATGTGCAGTAGCAGTGAGTACTGGAGTATCAGGAATTTTCAGTCCTCTCTCCTTCTCTCCCCAGTTGGGAGGGGGAGAAAAGGGGCTTTTCTTTTTCGGGGTGGGGAAGGTGGCTGGTGAAGGGCAAGGACATGCTTAGGCCCTAAATAAAAACATCGCAAAACAGAAAAGAATTAGAAGTCTCGACTTGAAAATCTTTAATAGAATAAAAACCAGTCTTCTACAGATAGTGGAATGGATTTGAGCCCTGAGCAGTTAGAAAAGGGTTAGGGACAAAGGTCTTGTGTTGTGGCAGGAGTTACTGAGGGAAATAAAAAGGACTGCCTAGAAGTGGTCAGTGCCACACAGAGCTGGTAGCCTACGTGTGTGGTTCATGTGGCTAGCATGTCTGTTAACTTTCCGGTAATGCTTAAAGGGCACTTGGGTTATCAAAGGATTACTCAGAAGAAATTCTAACTAAGGGGACTCTTCTCTCGTGGGTGTTAGTGTAGTTCTACGTCCAGGGGACTGGGATGTTGGAGAAGGCAGCGCTGAGTGACTGTTACACTGTTAGGGTCCTCTTCTGTATCTTCTTTCAAACCTGTGCCCTCCCACGCAGCTGCCTCCTCCAGTTAGACCACAGATTTCTTTGCTACTCTGTTGTATTACATGAAGGTTTGTTCGTGGAGTCCTTTTGTTCTCAGAAACCCGGATTGTAGTTTCTGATTACCCGTTGCCTGTCTTGATTTTTCTGTCTGTCTGTTCCTCTCCCTCCACATTGTGAGCTTCCCTTGAGACTATATCATACTTATCCTGTGCCTAGCACAGGGTTAGCTGAGAGAGACAGATGAAAAGAATACTTGGCTTGATTAATCTATTTCCTATTCCTCACTTTTATTGGTTAGATACTGTTTAGTAGACAGGCATGTAAATATAAGTGTATAGGCCAGATGTCTGTGCTCAAATAGCCAGGAGTTAGGTAAAGAAACAAACTGTCCACACAGATGGTAGATAGTGGTAGGGAACATGAAAGGCCTTTAGAACATGCTGTTGGAGTAGAAGGCAGAGAAATCACTTTTGCTAAGATAAAGTTCTTAGTTCATAGTCATGAGCTCCCAAAAGGATTTTATTTAAAGGAAGGCTCTGCTCTCCCTAAAATTGTAATGGCAGAAGTCTGTGTATAGGTGACTAGGTATCCTTTTTTCTAAGAAAAGGGCCCATAAATTTATATCAAAGGGATATAAATCCCTGAAGGGTTCAACACTACTGTAAGGTTCTCCCAGGTAGGCTGTTTTGGTGTCTGATCTCTGCAGCATCTAGAGACTGGAAGTATTCACTTAGGATGGCTCCGTCTCTCACAGCTATTTCCTTCGAGCCACCATCAGCCGCCGCCTCAACGATGTTGTCAAGGAGATGGACATTGTAGTTCACACACTTAGCACGTACCCCGAGCTGAACTCATCCATCAAGATGGAAGTCGGGATCGAGGACTGCCTGCACATCGAATTTGAGTATAACAAATCCAAGTGAGTATCCTGAGCCCCAAGCTCCTGTGGTAATTACTTCTGGTGGTTAAGAGAGCTCTCGAGTTGAGTGTACACTGACAAAGCCTCATGACTCTATGGCTTCATGGTGACATGCGTCAAGGGGAGATAACAAAAATAATACAGTCAATATATGTATGAGGCTGCTTATAGAGAGATGGGCCAGGACATAGAAACTTTATTGTTCAGTATATTAAATTATTTACCATCCCATTTAAACATTAAGGTGCCTTTCAAAGTTAAGCTTAACTAGCTTCTAGGTTGTTTGTTTTGGATACTAGGTAAAGCTACTTCCTTCCATGTGTGAGAATAATCATAGAACACAATGCCACTATCATTTGTTTCCTCCCTGCCTTGGAAATCAAAGTGAGGAAACTGTGTACCGGCAATGGGCTGCTTCCTCCCTGAACCAAAATGAGTTACAATGATGCTTTTTTTTTTTTTTTTTTTTTTTTGACAGAGTTTCTCTGTCCTGGAACTCACTCTATAGACCAGGCTGACCTCAAACTCACAGAGATCCGCCTGCCTCTGCCTCCTGAGTGCCAGGATTAAAGGTGCGTGCCACCACCAGGTACCCGATGCATTTTTCTGAAGGTCTTGAAATAACTTTACCTGACTGGTTGGGAAGCTATGTTTTAAACTGTGTTTGCTATTAGAGCATCAAAATGTTTAACTGCTTATAAACCACAGAATTTTCTGGCAGTCTTGTATCTTTCTTTTGAATATAATCTTTTTCTGAAAGTCTCTGGAGACCAATCCAAAAGTGAAAGGATCATCCACTTTCAGTCCTTATTACTGTCCTTACCGTAGTGGCCTTCCCCCAGGCCCACTGCCAACCGGAGCCTAGGAATGAAGGAGACACAATCTGCCTGCTAAGGGCTTGGGAACTGAGGGGAGACAACTCAACTATATAGACCAGGCTGCACACTTGTGATCCTGCTTCTACCGCAAAAGTGCTGGGATCACAGGCATGTGTCACCGTGTCTGATGGGAACGGTTTTTAAACCAGCAACATACTTGCCTCCAAGAACAGTTATGAAATAAAGTTATTTGTTCCTCCGCTCCCTGGCTTGGAACCTAGTGATGCCCCCATAAAATGACCATTGTGACCTAGAGCCAGTCCTGTGTGGGCTGGCCCACCTGTTGGATAGGTGTTAGGAAGGAGCGTCTCCTCTCCTCCTTCCCCCCTCAGTTTCCTGACTCAGCGTGGTCCTGCCCACTAATCCCCCAGACCTCTGATGAAGGCAGCCACTAGCAGGCGTGCTACCACAGAGCCTGAAGCAGCTGCTCGTCAGCAGCTCTTGGAATAAAAAGTGTTGTAGAGAAAGTTACGTGCAGGCAGGAATAGATACTCCTAGTCTTCTCCTCTCCTTGTACAACAGGTTGAGCCATATGGGACCATGAAACATGTTTCTTCTGTATAAGGTTTCATTATAGTAAATGAATGCTTCATGTATAGTATAGAAAACCTTAGCATCCATGCATGGTCTGTCAGTATCCCTGAGAAGTGCTGCAGGTGGCCTCCGGCTGTGTCTGCAGATGTGGAGGTTACCACTCAATGTCTGCAGCTTTCCCAGTAGACTGTAAACAACAGGCCCGTCTGAACCTTCTCCCATCCAGTTGAATGACCTAGTCTCTTCCAGTTTCTTTTTTTCCCACCTGCCATGTAAGGAGGCCCAATCCTGACATCTCTGCTAGGGGCCACATGCCATGAGTCTGAGCTTCAGGTTTGAAGAGTGTGCTGTCTTTCTGGAGTACCTGATATAGGGCGGTGTATACACAGGCTACCAGCACCGTTGGCTGGCCCACAGAGAAAGATGTAAAGGGAAAAGGAGAAAGTATTATGTGCCAGACGGTGGTAGCGCATGCCTTTAATCCCAGCACTCAGGAGGCAGAGGCAGGTAGATCTCTGTGAGTTCGAGGCCAGCCTGGTCTACAGAGTAAGTTCTAGAACAGCCAGGGCTACACAGAGAAACCCTGTCTCGAAGGAAAAAAAAAAAGGCAGTGCTCTGCAGCGTGGCAGCGTGGCTGAATTCTTAGTAGCTCCTGAAGCATAAGCCATGCAAGCGGAGCCCAGAGAGCAGGCAGCCGTGCAGAGGGAGGCTCACTTGTTTTGTGGTCTTCAGCTCCAGCCTGGAGCAAACCGAACTATTCACTGGGAACTGCTAAGGCCCAATTCCCTAAAGGCACTGTATGGAGAACCAAGTGGAAGGGGGAGACTTCATTCTTGTGTTTGTGAGGCTGGCTTAATATGTCAGAAAAACACATACATTAAAAAATACTGAAGGTATATCCTATAGAGATGGAGCAAATAAATATTAGTTGTTAAAATAACATGTATCATCCTTTGAGCAGGATTTGGAAGAGGGGACGTCACACAGAGCCCAATAAAGGACATATCAGGACACTGTTCCAGGAGTGAGGCTGAGCGTACACTTCCGTCGCTCCTCTCACTGACAGTGTGCCCCCTGCTGGAACACGGACGGACTAGCTCCTACCCCACCATCTTAATTCCTCTACTTTCTCTTCTTCAGATACCACTTGAAAGATGTCATTGTAGGGAAGATATACTTCCTGCTGGTGAGAATCAAAATCAAGCACATGGAGATAGACATCATCAAACGGGAAACGACAGGCACCGGTCCCAATGTATACCACGAGAACGACACAATAGCCAAGTATGAGATCATGGATGGGGCACCAGTTCGAGGTGAGCCTTCTGGCCCCGGGCCACTGCCACTGTTCATTTCCGGACCATGTTCAGAATTCAGGAAGGGTTCCAATGATTATACTGTTGAAGTAAAATATCTTTCTTTCTTTTTGAGACAAGGTCTCCCTATGTAGCCCAGGCTGGTCTGGAATTCATGGGAGTTCCCAGCACTGAAGTGGGAAGGGGAGGGAAAAGCTTGACCTTGTTTATATATTGATTTCTACCATTTCAACTGGCCTGCTTGCACATGTGTGTTGTCCCACACCTTGGTAGGTGGAGGCAGGAGGATCAGGAATTCAGAGTCATCTTTGGCTACATAGAGTTTAAGGCCTACTTAGGCTATATGAGATCCTGTCCAAAAAAAAAAGTTTGAAAACTGCTTTAAGATACAGTTTGAATATTTAATTCCTTTTTCTTCTTGACATCCTGGCATGTTTTCTGCTCAGAGAGGGATGTGGGGAGCGGGGGGGGGGGGGGGGGGGGGGGGGGGAGATCCATGCACTCTAGTCATTTTCATTGCTTAGTTCTAGCTACAGGAAAATGTTTCACTCTAGGAATTCATTTTTCTGTCATGAAAGTGCACTACCAGATTGCTGGCCCACACCACAAGGGCTTCAGACAGCCCCAGGACCCAATGGATGTGGTCCTCCACAGGGCCCCTAGGATGCGTGGGCTTGAAAGCCCTTTGCTGTTTGGGAATCTGGATGTGGATGATTACAGGGAAAAGGCAATCCTTTGCATTCTTTACTGGCTCTGTAGCAATTGAGGATGAAGGGTTCATCGCACTTTGAAGTGGGTGGTCGTACGTTCCCTGTGGGTATTCTGTGTGGAAGGAAGATGTCCCCCTGGGCAGTGCATAGCACTGGAGACCCCACAGATTCTTAGGCAGTCACTGTATCAGACCCTTGAGAGTATGGGAACCCAGCTCTCTTAACTCTGATGTTCCATTTTTTGACCAGTTGAGCCAACTGTCATTTCCCCTGTTCTAATGAAATGGGGCACAGAGAACAGCAGATAATTAAAGGTTCATTTATATTTAGCTTAAGGTTGGCCTTTCTCAGTAAAATTACTGCCCTCATTTTGTTCTTCTTAGTAGAGTGCCATAGGACCAAAACTGTTCTCTGATTTTCCATATGAGAGCTACAGATGTATTTAGAAGTCAGATCTGGCTACTAGAGAGAGACCTAGGTCCAAAATGAGTTGCCTGTTTTCTAGGCCACCCCACTGCAGACTACTAGAGTGGAGATGTACTCTGAGCATACATAACTATTTCCGTGGGAGGGAAAACTGTTGGGGAGAGTGCGCAGTGGTTATGAGCATGTACTGCTGTTGCAGAGACCTGAGTGTGGCGCTCACATCCAGAAGCTCAGTCTCTTGTAATTCCAACTTTCTTCTGGCAACCTCCACACCTACATGCACATATACATACTCACATACAGATGCAAACATACATATTAAAAAAAAAATAAATCTTTAAAAGAAATTTTTTAAAAGAGAAAGAAAACCCAGTGACTTAACAGACTTATTGGCTCACACCTCTAATTCCAGCACTTGGGAGGAGGCAGAGGAAGGAGGATTGCTGTGAGTTCAAAGCCAGCCAGAACTACATAGAGACCATGTTTCAAATAAATGTGAAAAAAAAACAAAACCCAGCAATAAGGCACATTGCGCATGGCAAGTGGTTCCTAATAGTCCCCCGTGCAGTTCAGTCACTGTTCCTCATGGCTTTCTGCAAGACTGGAGCGGACCTGGAAAACCACACACTTACGTCAGGAAACTGCTGGGAACAGTGTGTGACATCTCAAAAGGCAGAACCTTTGCTCAGTGTTCCTTCCCTTGCTCAGTGGAGTCTGGCCCGCCGAGGCCAGAGTGGGCGCTGGTGTCCAACAGTGCCTCCTGTGTCCCTCACCCTCATTTTTTACCTCACCCCTTACAGGTGAGTCCATCCCCATCAGGCTCTTCCTGGCAGGATATGAGCTCACGCCCACCATGCGGGACATAAACAAGAAGTTCTCTGTGCGCTATTACCTCAACTTGGTGCTGATTGATGAAGAGGAACGGCGTTACTTCAAGCAGCAGGTGGGTGCCTCCTCCAGGACCCTGGGTCCCTGTGGGCACAGAGCAGAAAGGCCACCGTTCCCACAGAGGGCCATCTTAATACTTAGAGCAAAATGCTGAAAGAAAACAGTCAAGCCTCCGTCACTTGTTACTGTACAAGAGGAAGAAACATGAGTTGCCTCGAGCCCGATAGCAGGAGTGTGAATTCCCAATTGGTACTGGGGGTCTCCTTTCTCGGGCCTAAAGTCCTGCTTTTGTGGCTCACACCAGAACACCAGTCTTAGGAGCCAAGGAGGTTATTCCTGGAGACTCCCTGGGACCAAGGTGGGAACCCCTGAGAAAAGCATCCCTTGAGCCTCTCTCAAATACCATGTTGCCCCTTCTTCCAACTCTGTAGGAAGTGGTGTTGTGGCGGAAGGGTGACATCGTACGGAAGAGCATGTCTCACCAGGCAGCCATTGCCTCACAGCGCTTCGAGGGCACAACCTCCCTGGGTGAGGTGCGGACCCCCGGCCAACTGTCTGACAACAACAGCAGGCAGTAGGCCCCAGGGGCCAAGAAGTTGCTGGGCTTCCACTGCGGCACCCCCGTCTACCAAACACCAGCGACTGGGGGAGGGGGGAGAACGGTGTGAGGCTCCACCGACCGTTACTCGCAACCTTGAAAACAAATCATGTTTTTTACTTAAATTCTTTTCTCTGAAGAACCTAAGGGGCTTGGGTTGGGCAGCAGTCTCTCTGGGAGTCTGCGGCCTAGGTAGGGATAGGGAGAGGAAACATTCTGGAAGCTAGTCTCTCCCTTGGGAATGAGAGCTGTCTGTCAAGGCTATCTCAAGCCTTAAAGCAGAGTTGAGAGCACACATCCTTGGCTCCAGGTTCTCTGGGCTTCCTGATACAGAGTTGAGCGTGTCCCTGGCATTCACCTGCAGGGCTCTGGGTAGTCATGTCTTACACTCCCTTCGACTGTTCCTGAGGTAGTGGCAGAAGTTGTTGGGCCTGTCTCATCCAAGTTGGAAGAAGACTCAAGATTGGGAAGCTACCTCTCTGGGCGTCTGGGACGTGGTGCTCTGAAGTTTCCAGTCACCCCTGGTCTTTCTCCATCTCTAGCTTGTCAGGAACCATACAGGAGCAGAGCCTAAGGAAGGTTCTGGGGCTGACTGTCCTCTCACTTGTGAGAGATACGGGCACAGAGGAGCCCTGAGACTGGTGTCACACACGGATGGCCAGGAGGCTGAGCTAGGTCTCCTGGGGCAAACATCAGGCAAGGCAGCTGTCTGCCTTCACCACCTGACTCCACTTGGCAACCCAAAGGCCGGGTTGTTGTAGGCAATTACGTTAAGTTACCCAACAAGCCCTAAGCAGAGGGTCCGATTCCTTTACTATAGAACTTAGAAGAGGCTGAGGTCCATTTGCCTCCCTGAACGGGATCTGTTGATATACTCCTTGTCCTCCACTTGACTTCTGGAATTGGGCTTGGTTTCAGGCACTTAAAAGTTTCGTTCTTGCTCCCACCCCAAAGCCTTTCATCCCACTGTCTACACGTTAAGGGAGGAAGGGCCTCTGCAGACTTTGTTACCATAACTTCAGAAAAATTCTGCTTGCCAAGTTATGTCTTTATCTTCACCAATTCACTGACTCGAGTTTAGGACCACTATTTTTTTTTTTTTAATTTAAAAACAAAATAGGAAAACTCTAGATGTTGTCACACTAGAGAAGAGGCAAATCTTCTCCTGCTGTGCTCGGGGCCTGCAAAGTAGTAAGGGGTTGACTGTCTTCTCTGCCTTGTCTGGGAATGACTGGGAATTATCTCCCTTTGGCCGCCCTCCCCTCTACAGAAAGAGCAAGTGGAACCCATGCTCAACAAGTACAGTATTCGCTGGTCTGTGTTCTTGGTAATCTGCCAAGTAAAGGGTTTGTTTCTGTGTCATTTCAGTTAGCATAGAAAATGGGGTCTCGTTCTCAGAAATCAGTGCAATCTTGGGCTTGACAGGGCAGGGCTGATGGATTAGAGTTCAGATGAAAGACACTTGGGGTGACTAGGGGTAGCAGAGCTAAGTAAATTTTTCCCCATGTCAGACCCCAAGTTTAGGTATGACATACAGTCCCCATGGGAACAGGTTCACCCAATCCAGCTGACCTTGGGTATCAAGGCTGGGCCCTAGCCGATGAGGGAGGGAGGTTCTGTGCTCTTGCCTTTATCAGGGTGAGACTAGACTCTGCTGTGCCTCCTTTTAATAGCTAATCAAAAGCATCTGTCCATTTCTCTGCCTCTCAGCTGACAACACAAATCCATTGTCCAACTTGCTAACATCTTACGCCTTTCTTCTGGGAGAACTAGAAGGTAGAGTATGCTTTGTTTCTCTCAGGAGCTGTGCACAAGCCAGGTCTTGTTTGCTGTGACTACCCCCATTTTCTTTTCTCTGCCACCTGTGAAAGTGTGGGGAGGCTCCTACCCCCATCCTGTAAGGTTCCCAAACCTGGAGTGCATAGGTACTAAACCAAGCAGTGCAACTTGTAATTAAGAAGCTGCAGTGTTTACATGTTTCTTAATGTGTTGTCTTTTCAATGGCTGTATTTTAAAAGAACATTTGTTTTAATGATGTCTCTAATTAAAGGAAGCCCTGTGGCTTTGGAGGCATTGTGCCCATGGTCCACCAGATTCTGTGGTCTTTTCCTTCTTAACACGGTCTCCTATCTGACACACTGGGAATGAAAGTTCCTTTTCAGTGGGTGGTAAACAGTAATAACCACTGTATTAACCACCCACTTTAGGCAAGCATGGCTCAGTGAGTTCAGGTTTTATCCTTGTCTGGCAACTTACTCCCCAAATACTCATATTTTCAACTTCAAGACTTGGATTCACTGAGTATTCACAGACCAAAGGACTCAGTCCCACATTCTGCTATTTACCACATAACTACAGTGGTAGAGGAAGACGATAGAGTTGCCTGCATCTTCGATTTGGCAAAAGGAACCAGGCTTGGATGTGAGACATCTACAGTGGAGGACTCTACCACACCCAACACAGGTTTAGAAGAAAAAGCTTTCAACCTTGTCATTGAATATTTTTTTATTGGGAAAAAAAAAAAATGAACAAACCACCTGTGCACATGACCCCAGGTGGACACAGCAAGCTTTCTCCTTTTGTCTTACATATCTTGACTCTGGATCAGTGGCTTGTTCATTCATCAGTAGAGCCTTCATTAACTTGGTTCTGTTTCCTCCAGGCTCAAAATAAAATCAAACTCTTCTACAAAGGGAAAAGGGAGAATGGGGTGCTGTGTCATCTCCTGCAGAGGGAGGTTAGTGAGGGCCCTGGAGTTAATGAGGCACCACAAGTTCCTGGAGTGGGCCACTGTCCACTCTAGAACATCTTAGGGTACTGGTTATACGGCAGAGAGCCCTCCTCAAGGGTGACATGGGGGGACACTGACCCAGAGAGGTTTAATACTGTCTCCACGTTGAGATCTTACCTCGAGTCAAAGGCTGAACTGAAAGTCTCTGGCGAGTGAAGAGGGTCATGTTTTTTAAGGGGCCCCCGGTAGCTTTGTGGGCTTGGTGATAGGTTTTAAGTTCATCCAGGGAGATGAAACGCTTCATCATTCGAACAAACTGTACATCCACCTATTGGACAGCATTGTAGGGCACAGAAACATGTTCAGTCAGACTGTCCAATTTAAGGAATGGGTCTCACTGTGTTGCCTTGTCTATTCTTGAATTCCTCGGCTGAGTCAATTTCCAATTCTCAGCCTACTGAGTGGCTAAGAATATAGGCATTTGCTTCTGTGCCCACCCAGCATTTCTACTGTTTGCAGGAGGTGCATGGTGTCAGGGCTGCCAGTGTTCTAATATCCCAGTTCAGCAAAACTCCTCTAGGTGAGGGCTGGGCTGTGCTCCTTGACCTAACAGTACCCCATCCTCTTCTTTCCTTTGCCCATTCTCGCCTTAGGAAATGGGAAGTATAGTTATTACCATCGACCATTTAGGGTTGTCCTCTTTGCTGGATGGGTCGTAATGGGGATTATTTTTTTCAAACTGTGTGTGGTCTGGATAAGCCTCTTTTACGATCTGAAAACAAATCCAAAATCTCCAATCATTTTAGCTCCCTGTCCAAGTTTTAATATGCATCACACTTTGACTTCTTACCCTTCCTTCATATTCTGACCCATCTCCCTCGCTATAGAGACAGTTGGTATGCAGACATCTGGAAATAAAAGATAGCCTAAGCAAGCATAGTTAGGAAGGAACTCCTATTTTTACAAAGTTTCACAAGCATGTTCTAAAACTAAATGCTGGAAGTTACTGTTGGAAACATGTTTTTCTTTTCTCCCAACTGCGCACATAGTGTTATCTTGAAGCTCTCAGCAAAGAGGAAGTACCTGATAGAACCTCAGGTAGTGAGAAGGATTAGCAGGGCCTGAAATAAAGCCCTTCCTATTCTAACCCTTATCATTCGGGTGGTGGTCAGGGCAGTTTTCCTCATTTTCTGTGATAGGGAGTTGGGGGGTGCAGCGCATATTTTCATGGTGACCTATTTAAGCTGTAAACTTTACATGAGTAAGTTCCAAAGGGAGGAATCCAAGCTAAATTATGTGCACCTAACCTTCATGAGTCCCACGATGCCTGGCTGTTTGCAGTTGCTATGGTAGAAGAAGGCGTCTTCCTCCAACTTCATGGCCCTGAGGAAGTTCCGAGCCTGTGTCAAAGGAGAGGAAACAAGGGTTGCCCTCCTACCGGCTGGGAAGAAATCAGCCTGTTTTGATTAATTTTTTTTTTTTTCCTGTTTTGCGCTTCTCTCAGATTCATAAGAAAATCTGTCCCTTTGTTCAGAGTCCTAGCCTTGTTCCAGGACATTAGCCAGAACCAAGCCACTTGTAGACTGCATGCTGTCACAGTGATTATGATATTTCTGAAGACATTTTCAGGATAGAGTTCAGAGAAAAGCAATGTTGGTTCAAAGGCCTTGCTACTGAAGAGCACAGCGGAGAAGGCAGGCGTACATCCTAGCCTAGGTTTCAGGGCTCCTGCCCCTTGTCTCCGTACCTGATAGTTGCGAACACCATCCCAGCATGCTATCTGCTTGGGCTGTGCTTTGAGATCCTCGATGCTAAACTAGGCAAGAGAAAATAAAGTCATTTAGTACATAGTCATTGGCCAACTGATAAGCATCTATGGAAACGAAAAGTTTTCTCTTTAATCCTGAAAAGTGCTACAGGATATAAAGAAGCTAGGTTGATTACCAGGAATTAGTTTCAGGGTGCCACTGATGTTGAATGAATATAAGTTGAGCCTCGGGTTTTACATTGTGGTCTTTGCTAATTAAGATGATTAGCTGAAAGGATAATCAGGATAATAAGACAGTCTGCTGGTCCCCTGTGTTTCACTTTTAAAGTATCCCATAATTCTATAATATTTCTATTTTCCTCAAGCTAGTATTAAAAATCATCTTATATTCATTCCCTGATTATATGGGGACACTTGTCAGGGAGACATCCAGGGGCATGGCAAATAGTAGGAGAAAAATAAAACCAGTGCCAGGTGTGGTGGCACACCTGTAATCCCAGCACCCCCAAAACTGGGGCAAGGAGGATCTTAAATTCAAGGGCAACCAGAGCCTCAAAAGTTAGGAGGCCAGCTTGGGCTCCATAGTAAGATCATCTTTAAAACACCTAACAACAGTAAAATCAAACTTCAGATTGACACTGGCAAGTTGAACCGTATGTCTGATTTTATAAATAAAGTTTTACCTGAACATAACCACACATTTTTTATGTGTTTGTCTGTGGCCACTTTCTTTGTTAACAGGACAGAGCTACAACATGGGCTATAAAAACCCATAAGCATCTCTGGCTCTTTTCAGAAAAAGTCTGCCAACCCTTGCTTAGCTGGGAAATCCACAAAACAGATACAGGTTGGGCATGCCTAATGTTAACACCTGAAATCAAAAATACTCTGGAATGTTCTAACATTCAAAAACTCTTATATTTTATTCCCTGTCTCGAAAAACAAAAAACAAACAAACAAAAAAGTCTTATATTTTATTGAAGTATTTAGACTTGGGGGGAGGGGAATAGAGATATTCAAATTGCAAAATCTAGAACACTTCTGGCCCCAAGAATTTTGGATAAGGGCTATCTACCCTTAAGCTAATAATCATAAATGCTGAAAATTTTACTTATTTTTACCTTTTCCTTAGTATTCAAAGATGAGAAGCTGATTCTGAATCAATCCTATGGTAAACCATATTCACCATTTTTTTTAGTCGTAATTATATGTGTGAAGTGTGGAAGTATGTGTGGTCAGAGCACAGCTCTCAGGAGTGTGTTCTCCCTTCACTGGGTTGCAGGTCATCAGGCAAGCGCTTTGACCCACTGCCCCATCTCGCCAACATGACGACACAGGATAGTCTCACCTTCACATCTACACCTTTCTCTAGCCGGCTTTCTGGCTCGGACTTCATCAGCCAGTAGTTGCTTAAATTCTTGCCACAGTTTTTCGAGGTTGAAGTCTTCTGAGGGCTGGCATTCTCTAGCTTAGCTGATGTATTTTCTGAGTTTTCAGTTCTAGAACGTTTTTCTGATAGCCCCTTCTTGTCTGCAATAGAAGTGAAAGAAAATGCTTGTCAGCCTGCTGGGAAGCAATGTTCCACTGTGGAAAAAAACAAAACAAAACAAAACAAAAAACACAAACTTGGTGTCATACCTGGACTCAAAACTTAGGCTCTATAAACACTAGCTATAGCACCACAGCCCCGTATAGAAGCAACCTCACCTTCTCTACAAAACCTGGACAAGAATGCCTGCCGTTCAGGGGCTCAACATCACCACTGAAACCATCAACTCACATCAACGGCAGCTACCAGCGCTGGGCCCACACAAGATTGGCCCTGTCTACAGTCATTCACGAATAGGGAAGGAGCTCATGGGGCCCTAGCCCTTAGTACTGAAACTATTGGCTACGGATAGGTTCTGGGAGAGGGGGAGTCACTGTCTTGAATTATGTCAATTATGTAGGCACTGCTGAGCTCACCAGCCTCCACTAGACAGCTCCAAACCCAGGCTTCATAAATGATTAAACTCAGTGCCTCACAAACCAAAATGGTTAGATGTGAACATGAGATTTGTAGGCAAGAACTAGTGTAGGATACGGGTGTCAGTATAGTAGAGAGAGAGAGGGGAAAGTGGTCCAAGGGCTAGAGAGATGGCTGTGTAGATTCCATAAAAGTCAGGTTCAATTCCCAGCACCCACATGGCTCACAACTCTTAACTCCAGTCCCAAGGGATCTGACACCCTCTTCTGGCCTCCACCAGTACTGCAAGAGTATGATGCACAGACATACATGCAGGCACAAGATCCATACATATAAAATAAAAATAAAACATTAAAAGCTTTTAAAGCTGATGGGCAGTGATGGTGCACGCCTTTAATCCCTGCAGTTGAGAGGAAGAGGCAGGCAGATCTCTGAGTTTGAAACCAATCTGATCTACAGAGCAAGTTCCAGGACAGCCTGGCTACACAGAGAAACCTTGTCCCAAAAAAAACAAAAAAAAAATTGGATTTAGGAAATACCTCATTACCATAAATGTCCAGTAAATATTAGCCATTATCACCATTATCTCACTTTTTTCTTGCTTCATGCATGCCTTTCTGAATCTTAAAGATGTCAAGAGTTTATTCAGGACCATGTAGACAACGTAAAGACTAGATTTTTTTCCCCTCTAATGGTGGGGACTGAACCCAGGGCTTTACCTATGCTAGACAAGCAACCTATCACTAAGCTCTAGCTCCATCCCTTTTTTGTTTTGTTTTATTTTTATTTTGAGACACAGTCTCACTAAATTTCCCAGGCTGGCCTTCAGCTCACTCTGTAGTCTAGATGAGCTATGAATTAACCAATCGACCACCTGATTAGCTTGGATTATAGCTCTTCAGCATCACCTGCCAACTTCTCAAGATTCAACTTTGGGCTTCAAACATGCTAGGTGGTGCTGTGCCACCAAGCTACATCTCTAGCCCTGAAATCTGGCTTTTCCTCAGTGAATAAAAGAAAATGTGCTTGAGACACAGCAATCACTCAACATGTCAGGCCCCAACCCTACTCTGGTATAGCCTCTGAGGTGTTCTACCTACCTGAACAATGTGCTGCAGCACATCACAATCCAGCCAGGTAGAAGGAAGCCCTCAATCGAGTCAGAACTGTCACTTGAGTCTGTTTGAACCTACAGTTAACTTACTCTACTACCTCAGAATCTAGTTTGCTACTACATCAGTCTTCATTAAATATCATTATGGATGTCTGATGCTCTGAACTTAGCTTACCTTAGCACAATTTCCCAGCTATCCTTCAGATCAGGCATACTCATAGATTAGTGCCTTGTCTGGTCGTCATCAGAGAGGCTTCTGCTGGAGGCAGATGGGAGCTGGTGCAGAGACCCACAGCCAGACAATATGCAGAGAGAGTCTAAATTGGAGGTCTCCATAGGGTCTCTCCCCTTGGAGCTCAGGGAACCCCAAGGAAGAGAGGGTGGAAAGATTGTAGGAGTCAGAGGGGATGGAGGATACCAGGAGAACATGGCCCACTGTATCAACTAGGCAGGGCTCACCTGGGCTCACAGATTGAAGCAGCAAGCACGAGGGCCCGCATGGTTCTGCACCAGGTCCTCTGCATGTATGTTGTGGCTGCTACCTTGGTATTTTTGTGGGATTCCTAACTGTGGGAGCGGGTGTGTCTTTGACTCTTTTTTTTTTTTTTTTTTTTTGGTTTTTCGAGACAGGGTTTCTCTGTGTAGCTTTGTGCCTTTCCTGGATCTCGCGCTGTAGACCAGGCTGGCCTCGAACTCACAGAAGTCCGCCTGGCTCTGCCTCCCGAGTGCTGGAATTAAAGGCGTGCGCCACCACCGCCCGGCGTCTTTGACTCTTGTTGGCTCTTGGGACATAGTCCTGTAGGGTTGCCTTGTCCAGCCTCAGAGTGAAGGCTTTTTGCCTTGTCTTACTGTATTTTGTTTTTCCGTGTTTGGTATATGCCTCTTGGAGGCCTACTCTTTTCTGAAGGGAGGCAGAGGGGGATTGGATGGGGAGGGAGGGGGGAGCTGGGAGGAGCAGAGGAGAGGGCTGTGATCAGGATGTATCATGACAGAATAATCTATTTTCAATTAGAAAAAAAAAGTGTAGGTGGAAGTTTCTGTCCTGCTACCAACTCCCAAATACCCAGCATCTGCTTCCCAGATAACTGACTCAGAGGCTTATATTACTTATAAATGCTCAGCCAGTAGCTCAGGCTTATTACTAACTAGCTCTTACACTTAAATTAACCTATAATTCTTACCTATGTTTAGTCACATGGCTCGTGGCTTACCAGTTCCCTGGCATCTTATTCCTTGAGGCAGCTGGATCTCGTCTCTCCCGACTCCCCACTTCTTCTCCCTGTATCTCTGTATGGCTTTCCTGCCCATCCATATTCTACCTGGCTATAGGCCAAAACAACTTTATCAACCAATGAGAGCAACACATATTCACAGCATACAGGAAGACCATCCCACAGCAATCAGGCATGCTATGCTAAATAACCACAATAATGTGTTGTGATCAACCTGAAATTCTTAACAGAGGTTCATTTTTACCTTCCCCTGCTTAATTTCTGCTCTTTATTCATAGCATACGTTCATTTTTTTGTGAATGGAAAAAACAATGTTTTCTGAGTTCTAGGATTTTGCTAGTGGAAAGCCCTCACATTCTTTTAAGGCTGGGCTCAAATTCTGCTTCCTTCTCCAGGCCTTCTCTGTCTTCCCACCCCTTCCATACCTCCAGCAAACCTGTCTTAAGGACCTTTCACTCATACGTGTTTGCATTTTCCCTTGGAAAAGGTACTGTATCTTCATTGTTTTTACCTTAAAGTCAATTGCCTTTTTCTATTAAATTTTGACTGACATGGAAAACAAAAACTGTACATATTTAATAGGCACCAACTGCCACATGGTTTTTCCACACATGTATACATTGTTGAATACATCAATCAGTTTGAATATACTTCCTGAAGCATCTACTTATGTATTTTGAGATAGAGTCTCATGCTGTGGGATGTTCTCTGTATGTCAAGTGTGTTGCTGATTGGTCAATAAATAAATCACTGATTGGCCAGTGGCTAGGCAGGAAGTATAGGCGGGACAAGGAGGAGAATAAAGCTGGGAAGTGGAAGGCTGAGTCAGAGAGACACTGCCAGCTGCCACGGTAACAAACAGCATGTGAAGATACCGGTAAGCCACGAGCCATGTGGCAAGGTATACATTTATAGAAATGGATTAATTTAAGCTGTAAGAAAAGTTACCAAGAAGCTTGCCACGGCCATACAGTTTGTAAGCAATATAAGTCTCTGTGTTTACTTGGTTGGGTCTGAGAGGCTGTGGGACTGGCGGGTGATAGAGATTTGTCCTGACTGTGGGCCAGGCAGGAAAACTCTAGCTACAGTCTCAGAACTCCGTAGCCCAGGCTGGCCTCCAATTTGCAGAAATCCTCCTGCCTTAGCTTCCCAAGCATTGGGATTACAGGTAGGAACCATCACAGATGATTTTTGTTTGTTTGTTTGTTTGATTTGGAGACAGGGGTCTCATGCTGTAGCCCAGGCTGGCCTAGAACACAGACAGGTATCTCGATGACAGGCATGAGCTGTCACTTTTGGCTCTATTGTTTACCGTAATAGCCTTTACAAGTCTTTGCTCCTGCTTTTCTGAAATGTGCAGTGCACTGTCATCCACTGCAGGAAATACAGCAAGCTGCTGGCTACAGTAACCCGAGCTGAACCCACAACCTGGGATTCTTACAACACACAAAAGCATTTCAAGGCCAGAGAGAATGATGCCAAGTTGGAGTTTAAAAGATTTTAAGCTGCGCATGTTGGCTCATGGCTGCAATCCCTGAATTTATAGAGCCTGAAGCAGGAGACTTGCTACAAGTTCAAGGCCAGACTAGGCTATAGAGGCCTGTCTCAAAACAGGAAAGGGGTTTAACATAAAAGTAAGCACATGCATTAAGAGACAGCTGCTAGTGTGGCAGTAAAGGCATTTACTGACAAGCCAAATGACCTGACTTCCATCCCCTAGGGCCCATCTGATGCGGGAACCAACTTCCAGGCACCAGCACATGGGCCATGGCACACGTAGATAAGATACAAGATAAGGACCTTGGGAAAGCCCTAGCAGACTGCGCTTGTCAGCACAGCTGCATTAAGTGTCTTAGCAATAACTATACATAGGATTTTGATAGCCTTGCCGGGCGGTGGTGGCCTTTAATCCCAGCATTCGGGAGGCAGAGCCAGGCAGATCTCTGTGAGTTCGAGGCCAGCCTGGTCTACAGAGTGAGATCCAGGACAGGCACCAAAACTACACAGAAAAACCCTGTCTCGAGGGAAAAAAAAAAAAAAAAAAAAAAAAAAAAGATTTTGGCAGCCTCTGAAAGATATTATTCAGAAAATTTAAAATTAAGTAAAACTGTTTTGGACAAGAAGCACTTGGGAGTAGGGGCAAAAGGATCAGGAATCCAGGTCATTCTCAATTACTTAGCAATTCCAAATTAAGGCTGGTAAGATTAAAAACCTCAGAAAACTGTGTGTGGTTGGGGGGGGGGGGGGGTAGGGGGTGAAGGGTGGAGTGGGGTGTCTCCTGTAGCCCAGGCTGGCTTCAAACTCTATATGTAGTCAAGAAATATCTTGAACCGATCTTCCCTTTACTTCCAGCTTTCAGCTTTTTTACATTTCACATGAAACCATGCTTTCTCTGCCTGGCTTATTTCACTCAAAGCAACGCTCCAAGGGCTGCTTAGGTGGCAAAGGCAATTTTTTTTTTTTTTTAAACAAAGACTGATGACCTGAATTCAATCTCTGCGATTCACAAAGTGGAAAAGGGGGACTGATTCCTGCAGGCTATCCTCTGAATAAATTGTGTGTGTGTGTGTGTGTGTGTGTGTGTGTGTGTGTGTGTGTGTGTGTAGTGTGAGCGCGCGCGCGCGCGCGCATGCATGCACTTCACACACACCTTAAAAAAGTAAATAAATGTAATTTTAAAAATATAGTGTTTTCACCCATGCTTGAAAGAATATCTATCTATACACACACACACACACACACACACACACACACACACACACACACACACACACTCTTTGGAGACAAGGTCCTGCGTATGTAGTACTGGCGTGGTACTCACTCCTATGTAACCAGGCTGGTCTTGAACTCAAGGCAATCCTCCGGCCTCAACCTCCCACGTGCGTGGGCCCCCACAGCCCCATACGTGTATGTACTGCAAATATTCTTAGTGCTTAATAGTTGTTTTTTGAATGGACAAACAAGTGGTAAGGACTTCAAATGGGAGTTTGGCAGAAAGAGTAAAGATGACAATAAGTAAGAGCCTTGAAGGTTTCCCTCCAAAACCCGGGAGTGGAAAAACGAGCAATGAACGCCCTACAGACGAGTTCTTCACCTGCTGCCTTTTGCAGCCTAGGTGCAGCTCACCTGGGCCAGCTGCCCCAGTCGGCCTCTTCCGGGGTCTCGGCATGTTCTCTCTGCAGGAGGCTGAAGATAACCGCACATGCAAGAAGCAACTCTTGTCTTCCAAAACCTGCACGATGCAAGATGGAGGCAAGAAAGCCTAAAGGGCCCGAGACTTGTGAAGAAAAGTCGTGATTAAGCCATTCTAAATCTCCCCTCCGTTATCTGCGCCCTTTCCATCTCGCATAATCTTCCCCTGAACACTCCTTAGTCCCTTATTCCGTTCTTCCCTCCACCATTCTCTCAACACACCAGCCAGACCTTTGATAAACACGGCCAGGCGGATCTCCAAAATGCTTCGAGAAGACTAGCGCGCCCCCGCCGACTTTGTAGAAGACGCGTCTCAGCGGCGCCGCCCAGAGAATCTCTGGGAACTGTAGTCGCATCACCCCAGTAGTCCTTCTGGAGCTCGAGCTTCAATGCTTTGATGGACTACAACTCCCAGGATGCCACGGGGAAGATCGCGACCTGCAAGTTCTGGCCCAAGCGAGCTGGTCCAGTGTCTGAGACTAGAAGCAGCTGTGGCGATGTTGCGGTGTGGCTCCCGGCGTCTTGGCTGTCTGCGCGCCGCTCTCCGGTCCCAGGCTCACCACCGGAGCGTCACTTTCTGCATCGATCGTAAGGCTCGTCTGGGCGAAGGGAGAGCGGGACTTTGGTGGGCATCTGTGCGGATCCCGGTTTCTGACTGCTTGCTGCTTCTGGGCTTCGTCCTGACACATACACCTGACTCCCTCGGTCCAGACCTCGGGTCCCTTGTCGGACTCATTTCCTCCTTAGGCCCTGTCCTGTCCCGGACTCACTTCCCTCTCCCCTACCAGTCCTGTCTCCCGAACCTGCTTCCTCCCATATCCCAGGATCTGCTCCCAGTGTGGTCTTTGCAACCAGCTCTCAGTCCAGTCCAGTGCCCCCTCCCCCTCCCAGCCCCGGCTCATGCTTTATCTATCTATCTATCTATCTATCTATCTATCTATCTATCTATCTATCTATCTATCTATCTATCTATCTATCTATCTATCTATTTGGTTTTTCGAGACAAGGTTTCTCTGTGTAGCCTTGCGCCTTTCCTGGAACTCGCTTTGGAGACCAGGCTGGCCTCGAACTCACAGAGATCCGCCTGCCTCTGCCTCCCGAGTGTTGGGATTAAAGACGTGTGCCACCACCGACCGGCCTATGCTTTATAAAGGTGAAGGAAATTGTGACTTTGGTTGGTTGAAATAGTAGCAATAGATTTCCAAGGTAGCAAGAAAGAAAGAATATGAATGCTGTTTGAGATATATGAAAAGCTCTGCTCACATAATGAACAGATTATGGGTTTCATAATTTATAGTTGTGAGCAGAAAACACTTATCCTATAGAAACTGCTGCAGGAAAAACAAAGATTACCACATTGAGAAAGACTATCAGAGATTACAAACTGATTGTTTAGGAACCTGGCAGAAAACTTGAATGTAACAAGGCGTGTTGGCCACCCACGCAGACTGTGGGATACCCAGCCAGTTTGTGAGTTCTGTCAATCACTTAAAATAACAAAAAAAAAAAAAAAAAAAAAAAACCCAAACAAAACAAAACCACTTTTTCCTTCTGAAGCAATTTTAGAAATGATTTTTCTTTACTTAAAGTAAGTATTCATTGTTTATGGCAGTGTGACCTTGATGATTGAGAACGTATCTATAAACTCACACGAAGGCATAGAAGACTGTTTTCTGTAGAAGACCAGAGACACTTTTAAAGGCACTGCTCAACACAGGCACTTCAGAGCTGAGTAACCATGTTGCCCCATCTCATGCCAAAGCTAGTAAGAGTTTGTCCCACCAGCAAATGAACAAAATGTGAGTTTCCCTAGGAAGTGGTGGTTTCACTTGAGCGACTTAGATACTCTTTCACTCTTTTTAAAAAAGGTATTGGAGTTGGGGACCTAGTTCAGCTTTGCTTTTTAGAGTCAGGGTGTCATTATACAGCCTGTTCTTGAATTTGCCATGTAGTTCAGACTGGTCTTGAATTCATGATCCTCTGCGACCCTGTGCTGGGGTTATAAGCATGACATTATGCCGGCTTCAATTTACTATTTAGCTTGCCATCTCCATTTTTTTCTATAAGCAGTGTTTTCCTACTGTGGATCATTTCCATTTCTAAAATCAACTGTATTTGTTCTGTAAGAAGAATATGTGGTTACACATTGTGCTTTCTTATATATAACTTATATGCAACTACTCTTTACTCAGAATGAAATTCTAAATTTCTAAGTCTTGGGTTACCTGAACTTGCTTGTCATAGGAAGTATCCCTTCATTCTGTCATAATATAATAATGATTTATTAATATATATCAAATTGGGACATAGTGACTCATACCTGTACTCCCAGTATTTTGGAAGCTTAGGCAGAGGATTACCTCAAGTTTGAGGCCAACCTGAACTATGAAGTAAATTGCAGGTCAGCTTGGGCTACAGAGTTAGACTCTATCTCAAAAAACTAGAACCAAACAAAACAAGTAACAACAGGCTCTATATTGAGCTCTTACTAGAAGTAAAATTCTGCAGCACTTCTTTATATCTTAAGGTCTCTGAATTATTACCATTTAAGTGTGTGTGTGTGTGTGTGTGTGTGTGTGTGTGTGTGTGTGTGTGTGTACCACATATGCTAGGCAAGGGCATTACCTCTCAGCTGCATTCTTCCCCCAATTCTTTTGCCGATGAGCATTAAACTATGAGCTATAGCAGCGCTTGTACAAGAAAGCATGAAAAAATGGGCTGACACTCCCCCCCCCAACACCTCCAGTAAGAAAACGGTAAATTTTTTTTTTTTTTTTTTTTTTTTTTTTTTGTCCCATACCATATTCCTAAGGGTGATATCCTCAGATTTCTGCTCTGGGTCTCTTAGGGAAGCATTCTCTAGAATCCTCATACCTTTTCCTTTCTAAGTTTCCTTTCTCACCCTCCTTTTGATACAGGGTCTTACTGTGTAGCCCTGAATATTCTAGAACTCTCTATGCAGGTCCCACTGGCCTCAGACGCACAGAGAGGCGCCTGCCTTTGCCTCTTGGGTGCTGGGATTAAAGGTGTGATTACCATGCTAGGCTTACTTTTTGACTCCCAGAGGAACAGACTTTGCTGCCAACACTTGTGTGCTCTTGGAAGGACTGTGTGCATAGCTAGCAGGCGCCAAAGTAATTTATTGTCAAGAATGGCTTGTACTTTTCCTTGAAGTCTACATCCATACTACCTCAGATGTCCCCATCTCTTCCTCATAGTTACTCTTAAGTATTCGTTAGTATCATGACCAAAGTTTCCGAGTTAAAGGGCCATACCTTAGAACATAAATAACTACAGAGCATCCACATGCCCACCCCCTGCCCTGCTATGCTACACATACACACACACACACACACACACACACACACACACACACACACACACAGCCATCACCGTACCCTCACCTTTTACTGGGCCTCTAAGTGCAGGCATGCACTCACCCCTTCTTATAGTTGCACACCTGAGTCAGTTGTTCTCACAGTAAAAGAGACATGGATGTGAGCAGTGTAGGCCTGTCCGATCCTCTCTACAAGTTGCTGGGTCTGCTCCACTGCTCTGGCTCCTGGAATTTGTTGTCTTTTCAAATCTTGAAAGCTCACTGCTTCTCACTAGAATTTTGCCTGAGTTCTTTGCTTTCAGTGTCTGCCTGTCTCTCTTGAAATCTGCTTCATCTTAGAAAGTATGGAAAGTACTCTGACTAGCTAGTTGGTAGACAATCCTGCTTTCCAATTCAGCCCTACTTTCCTTACGGAATGTGGTCTCTGAGGATGAATGTAAAAATCAACTCTGTATTTTATCGCTAGGGGACCAGGTTACTTACGTTAGTGTCTCTCACTATTTCTTTTGATGAGATGCTGTTCTAGTGCAGCCTTTGGAAGTTTTAGGAGTTTTTAGAAAATGTTCCCGTTCATCTATCCTCCTTGTCTGTCATCATCACTCTGCCGGTTCATTCTCCCAAGCTTCATTTGTCTCAGTCTGAGAAATGAAGCAGTTACCAAGTCATAGCCCTAGTGTGTAGCTGGAGTTTTCCTGCCTGGCCCACGGTCAGGGCAAATCTCTCTTACCTGTCAGTCCCTCACGTGCCAGTCCCACAGCAGCTCAGACCCGACCAAACAAACACAGAGACTTATATTGGTTACAAATTGTATGGCCATGGCAGGCTTCTTGCTAACTGTTCTTACAGCTTAAATTAATCCATTTTCATTAATCTATACCTTGCCACATGGCTCGTGGCTTACCGGCATCTTCACATGCTGTTTGTCATCGTGGCGGCTGGCAGTGTCTCTCTGACTCAGCCTTTTACTTTTTAGTTTTATTTTCTTCTTTGTCCCGCCTACACTTCCTGCCTAGCCAATGGCCAATCAGTGTTTTATTTATTGACTAATCAACAACACATTTGCCATACAGACCATCCCACAACACTAGTGGCTAAGACAGAAACTTCCTAAGAATTCAACTTCTCTATTGCAGATTTAACTGTTTTGACATAAGAAAGCTTTATTATTTATTAATCAGTCTTATCCACGGGTTGTATAGCCATATTATTCCATTGCTTCCATAGCTGGAAAGTATGCCAAAGGACACAGATTATGATTTCTCAATTTGTTTTCAAGTGCACGTGTCGGTGGAAACGGTGGCTGCTGCCAGATAGGCAGAGATTAGGTGGGGCTTTTTCTAGGAATGTATGCAGAAAAGCTGGGACAGCCCTTCAGAAAACATGTGATTTGGGGGCTTCAGTGTTTTTTATTTTCGCTTCATGTTGCTGAGCTTGACCAGGGACCTCAACGAGGCAACCCTTTGCGTTGGATCGTATCTCCAGCCCTTCATTTTTAAAAAAAATGGATTTATGAGTAAGAGGAGATAAACAACTTTGAAAAGGCAGCTGACCCTCTTGGAATTAAAGGAAGAATGGTGGGCCAGCAGGATGACTTAGTGGTGGTAATGGCATCTGTCACTAGGCCTGATGACCCAAGTTTAATCCCCAGACCGCACTCCCAAAAGTTGTCCTCTGACCCCAACATGCACCCACATATGTATACACATTCACACTCAATAAATAAATAAAATTGTGTTTTAAAAAGAATAGTAATGCTGTTTGAGGAGTTAGTGTTTTTATGCACCCTGCTCTTCCCACTCTGGTTCTTTGTGCATCCTGGTTCTTCCCCATTGCTTTCCTGAGACCCGTACCTGTTTTGGGTTATAACTGTATCTTACTAAGTGACTGAGGAAGAGATGTCTGGGAATTGTTTTATCTTAGGGTAATGTGGGTAAGTGTGTGTGCTAGAACTGTCCTTTCTCCACCCGGGAAACCAGTAGTGATGCTCACATGGGGTAGCAGAAGCAGGGTGATCAGGAGCTCCAGGCTAGCCTGATCTAGAGCCTGAGACCCTATCTCAAAAACAAAAACAATGAAACACGCAATAGATGGCGCCATTCTCTTGCTTTTACAGGGTATGTCTAGGAAATGCTGTATTGGGTCTGTCCTCAGCTTTGAGGCATTCCTTGTTAGTGAGACTGCTCTCTTCACTTCCATCCTAGAATTGAGTATGTCTGGTTCTGTTCACAGCTTCCTTGGGACTAAATGAAGAACAGAAAGAATTTCAGAAAGTGGCCTTTGACTTTGCTGCTCGGGAAATGGCTCCCAATATGGCCGAGTGGGATCAGAAGGTAGGAGTCTTCTTGTGGCTAGATGTCCCAACAAAGGCCTCCTGCAATGACTCATCTCTCCCTCCTTATAGTCCTAACTACTCAGTGTCTGCTCTCCACTCACCAACTCTTACTGCAGGTGTGAAGACTGATGATAGATGTGCTGGAGAGTTCGATGTCAGCCTGACACAAGCTGGCGTTCTCAGGGAGGAGGGAGCCTCGGTTAAGGAAATGCCTCCATAAGATGGGGCTGTAGCCAAGCCTGTGGGGCATTTTCTTTATTAGTGATTGATGTGGGAGGGCCCAGCCCATTGTGGATGGGGCCACCTCTGGGCTGATAGTCCTAGGTTCTATAAGAAAGCAGGCTGAGTAAGGCCTGGGAAGCAAGCCAGGAAGCAGTGCCCTCCATGGCCTCTGCGTCACTTCCTGCCACCTGCCCTGCTTGAGTTCCCGCCCTCACTGCTTTGGATGTTGTAAGGAACTGTGAGTGAAAGAATCCCTCTCTTCCCCAAGCTGCTTTTCATCGTTGTGTTTCATCACTGACTGGAACAGTAGAAGACTTTTCATAGAAGCCATCCCAGACATCATGTAGATGTCCCTTGTCTTTCTTAATGGAACAAAGATTTAGACACACATGAAATCAAAGCAGCCCTATAGAAAAGTTTTGGCGAACATGATGTTAACGGATGTCACTATAAAGCAGCAAGGGCGTTTGAAGTTAAGAGAATCCCTATAATCTCCCGGATGCCGACACCCGCGTCCCTCCATTGCCTGCGTCAGAGCCAGCCCCCAACTGCCTTGCTTTCTCTCCCACAGGAGCTGTTCCCTGTGGATGTGATGCGGAAGGCAGCGCAGCTGGGTTTTGGGGGGATCTACGTACGAACAGACGTGGGTGGGTCTGGACTGTCTCGCCTCGATACTTCTGTCATCTTCGAAGCCTTGGCCACGGGCTGCACCAGCACCACGGCCTATATAAGCATCCACAAGTGAGTATTCACACCCAAAAGCACAGTGAAGGGCTACGCTCACATGAGAAAATGATGAATCGTGTTGGGCTGCTTGTACTTGAGAAACTAAGCTGGTACTGGTACACAGTGGGTCTGCAGCTGGCTGCTAGATTTGATTCTGTTGTCTTCTATATTAGTGCTTAGGGGAATCGGTTCTGCTGACTTTCTCCCCAGTCCCGGTTTTGGTACCAGCAGACTTCTCCAGTTTTCCTCAATCTACAAGTGAAACCTCCAGTGATTGGAGACAGTAATAGCAAGTACATTTATCTCTGATTTTTAGGACTCACTAATCTGAGAAACACCTGGGCCTCAGGTATACGTATTCCAGGAATGTTTTTAAACCAGTCCCTTCCTTTCGAGGTGAAGCTTCTCATTTGTCTCTCTCTCTTCCTTTTCCCACTCTCTCCTGCTTTCATTCATTCTTTGTTTCTTTTCCCACCCCCACCCCCACCCGCCCCACCCCCCATTCTCTTTTCTGTCTTCATCTCTGCCAATACCGTTTCTTGTCAGCATGTGTGCCTGGATGATTGATAGCTTTGGAAATGAGGAACAGAGGCACAAATTTTGTCCACCGCTCTGTACCATGGAGAAGTTTGCTTCCTACTGCCTCACTGAACCAGGTGCGTTTGTCCTCCCTGCAAGTGACACCCAGCAAGGAGAGAAGTGGAGCCTATGTGGTCACTGGGCAGCCTTGACCGCTGGCACATAACCCGTTTACCAAGCACTTGGTTGTAGAGTATAGGTCCCAGGGGCCTTTAAGTCAGAGTTCCTCCTGGCTGCAAACCACCGTTAGCCGGTTTGTTAGAGAGGCAGTGGACTGCTGGGTGTAAGCAGTTTCTACCAAGTATGAGGAATTCCTTGGCCATGTGGATTTTAAAGTAGTGCATGATGAACTCTCTCAGGAAGATGTCCAGGATGTGGAACTGTGCTGAGCTACTGTGACTTCGCTGACTCCCTTCCCTGTCTGTTCCCTTTTGGTCCCAACTTCAGGAAGTGGGAGTGATGCTGCCTCTCTTCTGACCTCAGCCAAACGACAAGGAGATCACTACATCCTCAATGGTTCCAAGGTAAGAGCGTGCACTCCCAGGGCGTCTAGGGGCCGTTCCCTTGTGCCTCCTGATAGCCCCCAGTTCCTTTGAGTCTGTGAACTCGCATTCCCATGTACAAGTTTACATGTTGGGAAGAGAATCTCACTGCGTGTCTTTTACGATCCGGTTCTACACAGTTGCACGAATTTTCGTCTCGTTTCTAGTTTTACAAACTAAGTCCCTGATCCTGTAGGCACTGGCAGAGCCATTTCCCGTTCACCCGTTCTCTGCCTTGTGCCTTTGCTCTGTCCTCAGAAGTCTTCCAGTGGTTTTCCCAGAGGTCAGGCTCAGAACTCCTGCATTCGCTGGTCCTCATACTCCCCCTCTCCACCCACAGGCCTTCATCAGTGGGGGTGGTGAGTCAGACATCTATGTGGTCATGTGCCGAACTGGAGGATCGGGCCCCAAAGGCATCTCCTGCATAGTTGTTGAGAAGGAAACCCCTGGCCTTAGCTTTGGCAAGAAGGAGAAGAAGGTGAGTGGTACTCAGTTGTAAGCAACTCAAGGTATGAGTTGTCTGTGCTGTCTGCTAGACCAACTCCTCCCCATTTTCACGGAATAGGTTCACGAGTTGGGTATGTAGCAGAGAAGTCATTGCTAAAGAAACAGACTCCTGGGAAAAGACAACTTTGCCGGCTGATTTCATAAGCTGCCACTGTTTAAATTATCTTGTTTCTGTGTCAACTTTGGTTCTGTCTGTCTTTTTTCTCTGTTTCTGAGCTGTATGTTTGTGTGCATGTGTTGGAGGGGCGTTGATGTTGGGTGCCTTCCTCAATTGTTCTCTCCCTCGTGTTTCCACCAGGGTCTCCTTTAATTTAATTCCTTTACTTGTGTTGTTACTGTTTTTGAGGCAGGGTCTCACTATGTAGCCCTGGCTGTTCTCACGTAGACAAGGCCGGTCTCCGACTCACAGAGATCTGCCTCCCTTTGCCTGTCCAGACAGCATCTCCTCCTGAACCTGGAGCTTGCCCCGTCAGTGAGACTGGCTGACCAGTGAGTTCCAGGGCTCCTCCTGTCAGCCCCTTCCCAGCCGTACCTGGCTTCTTGTGTGGCTACTGGGGATTGAACTCGGGTCCTTGTGCAGACGCAGCAAGCACCTTACAAATTGAGCCATCTCCCCAGCCCTTGTCCTATGTTTCTTACCCAGCTTTCACCACACTTCGTTATCCCAGAAAGAGATACTTACAGAAGATCTGATGCTTGTCAGAAGTCTCAGAACACTTTTCTTCTCTAGACAAAAATAAAATACTCATTGACAGGGAGAGGCTGTAGGTGTTTCAGCCATCTAAGGACTTGTTTCCATAAGTGCTTTGAAAACTAAGATACTCCTAGGGTTGAGAAACCCCACACGCAGGCCCTGAACAGGAAACTTGTGATAATGTAATTGCTGATAAGTGAGGAGTATTTTTCAGGACAGGTAATCAAAACAGGAATACAGTTGCTGTCCTTAGATCAGGGTTTTTGGAGATAAGTCAGTTATGAAATGACCCCTAAATACTTCCTACATCTACATAGGGGTTCCTCTTTTTCTTCATGATGCTTTTTGGCTCTTAACAACTGCCAAGAGGTCGTATATAGGTTTTAGTGCCTCCTTTCTTTTGTAGCATAACAGGTTATTAGATGCCTACAATGTTCAAAACTATGTGCTGGCTCCTGAGAGGATGCAGAATCCTTTGTAAGGAGTCTTTTTCTGTCCCACCAGCCAGCTCCCAAATAACCACATGGAGACTTATTGTTAATTATGAAAGCTTGGTCGATGGCTTAGGCTTGTTCCACTAGCTCTTATAACTTAAATTAACCCATTTCTATCCATCTACGTCCTATCATGTTACTTCTCTATCATCTTGCACATCCTGTTTCCTCTCTGTGTCTCCTGGCATCCCTGCATGCTGAGATTCCTTCTCCTCTTCCTTTCTCTCCCCGGAGAGAAGTCTCACCTGTACCTCCTGCCTAGCTATTGGATGTTCAGCTTTTTATTACACCAGTAACAGCAGCACATCTTCACACAGGGTAATATCCCACAGCAATCCTTAGTCATTCCTAGCCCTGTTTGGACTTACCTGTATAGAATCTCTGCAGCTGGGCATGGTGGCACACACATATGATTCCATTATTCGGAAGTCTGGGGCAATAAAATTGCAAGTACTAGGCCAGCCCAGGCTACATGTGACACACACACCTCAAAATTATAAAAACAAAAATATTTGCCTATTTTTAGAAGCAAAAAGAATTTTGGTGCGTATAGGTGGGGTTGCAGTGAGCAAGATAGGGGCTGGATTCTTTCAGTTAGCATACTTAACAATGTTAATGAGAGTTTTTAGCCTCCCACTTTGTGTTAACTTTATAGGAGGGTAATTATTTACTTTATCTTGGATTTAGTTTTTAAGAGGCTTTCTATGGGAGAATGAGTTTTGTCATGGAGGTCTGGAAGCGAGGACAATATGCAGAAGAGTAAAAAGACTGAGCAGGAATGGTTGTTCACATAGTTGTCTAGGCACGCAGGTCTTCCAGAAGGTAGAGGTAGACCAGGTTTCAGGGGGTCTTCCCCAATTAAACCTGATCTCTATTAACCTTGAATGAATCCACAGCCTTTCATTTCCTGTGGAAACCAAAGCACAACCTCTTCCCCAAAGCAATACATTTTTAAACTTCTATTTTTTTTTTTTTTTTTTTTTTTTTTTGGTTTTTCGAGACAGGGTTTCTCTGTGTAGCTTTGCGCCTTTTTCCTGGAACTCACTTGGTAGCCCAGGCTGGCCTCGAACTCACAGAGATCCGCCTGGCTCTGCCTCCCGAGTGCTGGGATTAAAGGCGTGCGCCACCACCGCCCGGCCTAAACTTCTATTTTAAAGTTAAGGCATTTTATCTAGGCTGGTTTATTTCAGCAGTCCCTTCCACAATCCCATGTCTCCCAGCAGCTATCTTCTGCTTGTCAGCAATCAAAAAAATTAAAAGACAACATAATACCCTACAGGATCCAGACTCTCTGTGTATTTCCCATCTCTATGTGGCTTATTGTTTTTTTATTATTATTATTATTTATCAACTATTTACTTTTTTCTATGACTGTCTATAAAACATACCAGGCCTTTTCTTTTGGGTCACCAACCAGCTCCCAAAGCATGACATGGAGACTTATTAGTTTTGAATGCTTGGCCTTGCTTAGGCTCATTTCTGGCTAGCTCTTTTAACTTAAACTAACTTGTTTCTTTATATCTACCTTTTGCCTCGGGCTTTTTACTTTTCTTTCCTTCCGTATATCTTACTTTCACTGCTTCTTGTGTCTGGTAGCTGCCTGACTGGCCCCAGGCAAGTTCCTCATTCTCTCCTCCTTCTTATTCCTCCTCTTGTTCTCTCTGCCCTGCAGCTCCACCTATCCCTCTCCTGCCTAGCTACTGGCCGTTCGGCTTTTTATTAGACCAATCAAGTGCCCTAGGCAGGCAAGGTGAAACAGATGTAATATATCTTTGCCTAATTAAACACACATCCTTACATCGTTAAACAAATACAGCATAAACAAAAGCATAACACACTGCTACACAGTTAAAGTAACATTCTGCAGCATAAACAAATGTAACACATCTTTGCCCAGTTAAAATAATACTCCACAGCACAGAGTGGATCATTTGCCCCATTCTCCAGCCCCCTACGGCTTTCCTAGGGCATTAGGAGAAGAAGTCTATCCATATAGGGACAGAAAGTAGGTTGTGTGTCTGTGGGCACATTTCCATGCTTGTGTAGGTGCATATGGAGGCTGAGGTTAGCTTTGGGTGTTGTCATTCTACTTTTCTATTGCTGTGAGGGGCCACCGTGACCTAGACAACTTATAAAATAAACCATTTAATTTGGCAGCTCATAGTTCCAGAGGGATTAGAGTCCATGACAATCATGAACTTACATTCTGGTCCACAGGCAGGAGTCAGAGGGAGTCAACTAGGAATGACTTTAGGACCTTAGAGCCCACCCCCAGTGACACACCTCCTCCAACAAGGCCACACCTCCTAATCCTTCCCAAACAGTTCTGCCAACTGCTGACCAAGATTCAAATATATGAGCCTGTGGGGGCCATTCCCACTCAAAGTGTCCTCTCACCCCCCCCCCCCCCACACACACACACACTTTGTTTATTTTTTGTTTTTTTTGAGACAGGGTCTCTTACTGACTTGAACACATGGGTTGATGGGTTGGCTCGACTGCCCGGCCAGTGAGCTATGGGATCTGCTCTTTTCATTCCTCCATTTCCACACACACATTGGTTGCAGATGTGTGCCCTGCAGCCCCTGGCTCTTTACTTGGGTACTAGGTAGGGATGTAAACTGAGGACTTGTTGCTTGTGCAGCAGGTATTTTTACCCACTGAGCCATGAAGATACATACTTCTTAGAATAAAGATTTCACAGGTGTGAGACGATAGAGGCTGTTTGTAGTTTGTTTCTTTAATGATAACCCATTCTTGCTTCCAGATGTCTGTATTCAGTTTGAGGAGACAAAACACAGAGGTAGCAGTCACACGGGGCAGTCGTGAGAAGTTTCAGACTTTCAGACTTAGGGTAGAGACTACCGGAGCTTAGAAGAGGACAGATTCAGTTCCATTTTGTGTGGTTTTGGTTTTCTGAGACTGGATCTCATGGAGGCCAGGCTGACCTCAAACTTGCTATGTAGTCAGAGATCACCTTGAACTCCTGCTCTTCCTGCCTCTGTGTCCCGAGTGCTAGGTTTGCAAGCAGACACCACCATGCCTGCCTAGAAGTTTGTATGCTAGGAATGATGCAAAAGCCATGTCTTCCAGGTAGGAGGGAGCTCAGGCGTTGTGTCTAAGTCCTGGTTTTCAGGAGCTACCTTGCTGAACCTGAAGTTCCTTTGAGTTCCTGAGTACCTCGATGAGGAGCTGACAGGGATGAGCAGTGAGGCCTTTCTGTTTAGACATGAAACATTGGAGACTTCGCTAAGAGGATCTACGGACTTCCTAGGTCAACACTTGCGCTTTTATGTAAGGAAACAAAGGTCACAAAGAAGTCAAGCTTGTCCAAAGATGGAAATTATACCCAGGTAGATCTGGGACAGAGGCTGCCTTTCAAGTGTTCTGAAGTTTTTCTGGGCTTACATCTGACATAGCCAGTGATGTTCCAGAAAGACGTTTTTCTTGGAGAAACAAAACAAAAACTCGTATTTGTGGCATTTGCCAATTCAATGGCTGACTTCACACACCGTCGCAAGGTCATTGAATGCCAGGTTAGGAAATGCAGTGTAATTGGCTCTCGTGAGGCGACATCCCACAGAGTGTCATTGCAGCTAAATGCTGCGTCAGGGCTCTCTGGTACGATGCATGTCCTTTACCTTGTCTAATTATAGCACTTTTTAGGGACACTAGACTTTTAAAAGGAGAAATGTGGTCATTGTTCAGAAGGCCTTTAAAAGTTAACTTTTCATGCTCGCTTTGGCAGCACATAGACGAAAAGCGAACTCTCCCAAATAATCTCTCACAGAAGTTGCACTCACAGAGGCACTGAAAATGAGGACGGATCTGGTCCTGATCCTCCAAGAAGTGACAGGTATTTGTAGCTAGAGTATACAAAGTTGATTTGTGTAATGTGGACTGTGTTAGCCAGGCATGGTGACTCACACCTGTAATCCTGGCACTGGGAGCCTGAGGCAGGAAGAGCATACTACAGATCAGCCCAGACTACAGAGTAAGAAAGCCCATGTTAACAAATAAACAAAACGCTGTTTACCTGAAATAAGCATCTCTCTAAGTATTGATAAACTTTTACATCTGAACTTTTTTCTTCTTCTGTTTTGTGTTCTGATGGGTTTAAGTGCCAGGGTGCTGGAACCCAGACTTTACAAGCTTCTGTCCACAGGGAAGGCCGCCCTGCTTGGGGAATCCTTGGGCAGCCACCCAGACCCTGATTTTTGCCAGGTGGGGTGGAACTCCCAGCCAACCCGAGCAGTGATCTTTGAAGACTGTGCTGTCCCTGTGGCCAACAGGATTGGAAGCGAGGGGCAGGGCTTTCTCATCGCCATGAAAGGACTGAACGGCGGGAGGATCAATGTTGGTGAGGCCCGAAAGGAGTTGGGGAAGGAAGGCAAAGGCTGAGGCTGGCCACTGTCATTCAGGCTCAGCTGAAGTCCTGACTCCTCCTCTCTAGCATCCTGCTCTCTTGGGGCTGCTCATGCTTCAGTTATCCTTACCCAAGAGCACCTCAAGGTCCGGAAGCAGTTTGGAGCACCTCTAGCCAGAAGCCAAGTAAGACACCCGGGGTCTGCATTTGTATTCTGTTGAGATCTTCCCTGGGGCCCCTGTTCTTGGTGGAATTGGGTGGGGCTGATATCCCATGAAGAACTTTCCCCCATCTTAATCAGAATGTCTGTTTTACAAGTACCTGTGCCTTTTTTCAGGAGGCAATAATACCAAGGCAAGTAAAGCAGGCTTTAGAAGTGGCAAAAGACTTTGATGTACTTAGACAAGGCACCTAACTTGAGATATCTGTGTGTGTGTGTGTGTGTGTGTGTGTGTGTGTGTGTGTGTGTGTGTGTGTGTGTGTGTGTATGCATGCGCACACACATGGATGTGCATGCAATTACATGCATGTCATAGTGCATATGTGGAGGTCCGGATAACTTTCAGGTGTTGGTTCTTTCCTGCCACACATGGGGTCATCTTGGGGTAGGATTCGGATTGTCAGATCTGTGTATGAGTAAGGACCTCTACTTGTTGAGCCAGCTCGCCAGCTCAAGATGTCTTATCAGTGGTTCCAGATCAGATCCCAGATGGCCTGTCTAAAAACCATGTGCCCTTTTTGGTTCCATCCCCTCCTGTGGCTGCAGTACCTGCAGTTCCAGTTAGCGGACATGGCCACCAGGTTGGTTGCCTCCCGGCTGATGATCCGTACTGCCGCAGTGGCTTTGCAGGAGGAGCGGGAAGATGCAGTGGCCCTGTGCTCCATGGCCAAGCTCTTTGCTACAGAGGAGTGCTTCACTGTAAGTGATAAGTCTTCTGGCCTTCCTGACATAGACAGGAAGAGCTGCTGTGCTTGGGGATTTTGAGAGAGATGAGTCATCTATAGAACCCTAGCCTCCTGAGACAGTGAAGGAATCACCTTGGGGCTTAGGGTTACAAACGATTTTGAAAGGCTGCATGAGAGCTCTCCCTGCTGCCTTTGTAGCCGTTTCCATGATGTTAAATGCATCAGTAAGACTCTGTCTCTCAGATGTGTTCTAGAAGAAGCACATCTTTGCAATGTTCAAAACAGCCCAAATTTAGCACTAATTGCTGTTTACTTCAGCACGGAGCTGTCTCCACGCTGAGACTACATTGCCACTAGGTGGCGCCTGAACTTCTTATAATCAATAGGTGATTGTAGGCAGCTTTGCCTCCAGGACAGCATGAAGAAGCAATATGGATGTTTGTGCATTGTTTGACTGGTTCAGTAGAAAGACTGCCTTTGTGTCTGACTATTTAGAATCTGGAGCTTCTCTTGGGCTCTGTTTGTTCTCAACTGGCAGACTGAGGTTTGGAGTGTGGAGGGGAGCCAAGGACTCCACAGGCTTCCTGGGACCAAAGACATCTATCTACTCCCTGTCTCCCAGCAGATCTGCAACCAGGCTTTGCAGATGCATGGGGGCTATGGCTACCTGAAGGATTATGCTGTTCAGCAGTATATGCGGGACTCCAGGGTCCACCAGATCCTAGAAGGTAAAACTTCACAGAGGTCATGCTATGCTTTTCCCAGCCGGTCTCAGGACTTCTGAGCTGGGGTCCTGCCAGGCCCTGTGTCTTTTCCTCCATTCTTCCGTTCCTCAGCCCTTCCCTGAAGCTGGTCTCCCGCTGCATTAGAAAGCACTCTCAGCTGGGCACCAGGAGACTCCGCTTCACCCTCATGAGTGAGGCGTCACTCCACTTCTTTTTGTAGATTTCAGAGAAGGCACAATCCAAGCTAGTACGTGAGCAGTCTTGTTGGAAAGCACACTGGTGGTATTTTGTACCGTTGTAAAGGACTTGAACCTCAGGGATCCTAAACTTCCAAAAGTAGTTTGGCAGTCGCATTGTCTAAATGTCATCCTTGTCAGTATTGCTGGTATTGCTAGTGTTTAGTAAAATCATCAGCATGTGGCTTTCTTCTTTAACTACAGACATCTGTTGGGCAACTGCGTGAGCTGTTAGTCAGGTGCAGAGTGCGCCTTCCACTCAGCAATCAGTGCGTCAGTCTGGAGGATCCCAGCTCTGTCCCGGCTCGTGTAGGCAGCCAGGGCTGTCACAGGACTGGGGAAGCGTGGGCTGGAGACTTGTCTTGTGACTCTTGGTGAAACAGTGTAGGGTATTTTATGGTTGTGCTTCCCTGCCTTCAAAGGGATCCATGTCATACCTGAGTGAGCACATAATCTTCCTCGGGAGGATTTTAAGTAGGTTCCTGGGTCCCACCCTCAGAGTTTCTGCTCCAGTGGACCGAGTGAAGGCTGTGGTCACCGGTGTGGGAACAGTTTGAGCCCTGCTGTCCCTATGTCTGAATTCGAATCCTAAAGGACCGCCATCTATCCAACCGAGCTCTAACCTTTATTTGGCTCAGGCCCTTATACTGAAATTAAACTTGCAGAGTTTTTTGAGTGGGAAATGTCACCCTTTTGCAAGGAAGTTTGGATTTGGCTTTCTTTGAGACAATGTGATTATTGTTCCCGCAAGGGCTTTACTTTGTATTTTGTTTGTACCGAAGGCCACTATTAAAAATAAAATGAGCTATTAATTCCCTCCTTCAAGGCAAATGTTTTATTTTATGCTTCAGTTTTCTGATTACAAAAGAAATATGTATTGTTGAAAATCTATAAAATACACAAAAAGTAAAAGAAAAAAAGTCCTGTTTCTATATCATATATATATATATGTTGTTGTTAAATTCTTTGGACTTTTTCCTATCCTTTTACAAGTATGATTAAAATTTTAAAATTTTAATCTACTTGTTAATACAGTCATTTTTGTCATTAGGAGAGGTGTTTAAAAATGTAAATATCTCACGGAGCCCACAAGATGGCTCATTTGTAAAAGGCCTAAAGGCCTGAATTTGATCCCCAGGATCCACATGGTGGAAGGAGCAAAGCAGTCTTGCAGGTTGTCCTCTGGCCTTCACATGCACATCATGGCATGGGCGCGCGCGCACGCACGCACACACACACACACACACACACACACACACACACACACACACACACGCCCACCCTCCCCCCACACACACACTCATTCACACAATAAATACGTGTAATTAAGAAAATTTAAGGCATAAATATTACTGGGTGTGGTGTTGTACACCTGTAATTCTAGCACTAGTCGGGGCAGGAAGGTCAGGAGTTCAAGGACATCCAAGGTCGTCCTCAACTGTATGTGTAGTTTAAGTATAGCCTGGGCTACATTAGAGCCAGTCTCAAACCAAACAACAACAAATGTAAATACTGTTTCTTACACTGTTGTTTTTTGGTAATTACAAAGAAGCAACAGTTTAAATCCATGACTTCCCTTTTCCTACTGACACCTTCATTGTTCCCCTTTGCAGGTAGCAATGAGGTGATGAGGATGCTGATCTCTCGAAGCCTGCTTCAGGACTAGCTCCTAAACTGCAGAGTCTGGCCTGGAGTTCATGGGCAGCTGCAATCAGTGTGGAGTACTGAGATAGGTTGTTCAGTTGCAAGTGGATCCTGGAGTAGATTGAAGGGCTGCGCTCTTCTGATAGAGAACTTTTGTGGTCAGCAGTGTGCTGGCTCTGAGATAGGAACAGGATTCTCAGTAGAGCTGGAAGGGCCCAGAGGAGCCATGCCAGAAGACTTGCTCTCTTGCTGTCCTCATTCTGGAAAAACAAGCAGTCAACACTGTGGCTTGGATTCACACGATGTGCGTTTCGTTGATTCTTGTCCTAGGGTCTGGGTCCCTCAGTGAAGCTTTTCCTGATTGCAGAGGCAGAGTGTAGGGAGGCAAGTGGGCAGCCTGTCTCTCTCTGCTCTTTGTTCTGCACAGGGTCTCAGGATAGCACTCCTGAACTCAGATCATGATAAAGTAAATATTTGGGAATCTACTGCTAAGCTATGAATCAGGGTGCATCTTTACTCTCCCCATCACATAATAAATGTCAAGGGCTAAGATTATTTGGAACATTTGGATTTTTATATGGGCTTTTAATTCCTCTTTTGGGGCTTATTTGGAACATTTGGATTTTTATATGGGCTTTTAATTCCTCTTTTGGGGCTGCTTCTCTTTTTAAGTACTTTTATTAGTAAATAAAATCTACCTCTTTACTGTCTCCTTCAACTATAAGCCTTATAGCTATACTTGATTTGATTCAGTATATATTTGATTCAATATTTAATTGGATTTTTGATAATTATATGTTTGATTCAATATTTAATTGGATATTAGAATAATTAGGAATCTCTTCTAAGGCAGTTTGTCTTTTAAAAAGTACATCTTTTAATTAATTTTGCAAACAAAGCATTTTTTGTCATGTATGGAAGTCTAAGTATTACTCAATGATTAGGACTTTGGGAAAACCCTGCTACAGATGATTATCTAATCTATCTTTTGATGTTAGGAAAGAAAAATGTACACGATATTTTGTTAGCCACAGTCACTGATTATAGAAAAGGATATGTGTCTGTAACTGTAATAGACATTTTATTTTCTTAATGCTTATACTGTCTGAAACTGTCCTGTGCACAAGGAGCAAGGTGTAATTCAGAGTTGAAAATAGGGTTCTGCTGTCCACAGCTGTACCTAAGAGGAGCTAATGGAATGCATGATCACAGAGTCTGTACAAGACAGAATAGTCTGGAAACAAGTAAAGGTAGAAAGAGGTTCACAGAGGAGGTAAAAACTCAGATTAAGCTTTTATGAAAATGTCTAAAGGGAAACTGCTTTGCAGAAGTTGGGAGGGAGTACAGGATTTGTGTGGGCGTGGACATTTGTGTTTGTTGTGGTTTGGGGTTGGCATGAAACAGAAAGTATGAGTTAAGTGTGGTTAGAACAATGGAAAAAGACGGGTGGGGGTTGTTTATTTATTTGTCTATCTGTGTGTGGGTGTGTGTGTATGATGTCCATGTGTGAGTACCACCTTGTGTGTGAAACAGCCCTGGGAGTCATTTCTTTCCTTCCGCTGTGAGGGGCTCCAAGAATCAAAGAGATCGTCAAGCTCGTACAGCAAATACTTTTACCCACTGAGCCATCTCACTGGTTCCAGATTCACCCATTCTTAAGAACATTGAAAACTGTCAAAGTGTGAGAGCCTCTTAGCCTATCCCTGGAAACAGGGAGAGCAGGTGAAAGCCGCTGTAGACCAGTGCTTAGAATGGCCACTGTGGAACCTTGTTAGTACAGAGAGCTTGTCATTAACCACTCTGATTGCTGAGGTTCCTACTCCTCCTCAAAGCAGTCACAATGCTATCTATAGTGATGCCTTTGAAGTTGTGGTTATTGAAAAGTACGAGCTGTGAGACTGAAATGATGGCACAGCAGTTAGGAGCACTTGCTGCTCTTCCAGAGGACCCAACTTTGATTCCCAGCACCCACATCCTAACAACTGCCTGTAACTCCAGCTTCTGTAACTCTGACCTCTCTAGACACCTGGACTCGTGTGCACACACCCTCCCACAGACACACCTGAAATACACATAATTAAAAGTAATGAAAATAAAAAAATACAAACTGAGTGTGAGGGTTCAGTCCTGTAATCCCAGCACTCAGAAAGCTAAAGCAGGAGGATTGCCGTGAGTTCAAGTGTAGCCTGGGCTATATACAGACTGAGTGACCCTGTTTTGAGCTGGCATTGTAGCTCACTTAACTAGTGTTCAGGAGCCCCTAGGCTTCCACCTCTAGCACTGAAATAAAGTTCTTACTGTCATCTCCAGATATTACTAAGAGATTTCATATTCCCAGTCATCTGGCAAGCAAGTGGTCAATGAACTTTTAAGCTAATTCCCATCATTGTCCTATATCATAAGTAGAAGCAAAAATACCATAGCAAAGCCGGGCGGTGGTGGCGCACGCCTTTAATCCCAGCACTCGGGAGGCAGAGGCAGGCGGATCTCTGTGAGTTCGAGGCCAGCCTGGTCTACAAAGCGAGATCCAGGAAAGGCGCAAAGCTACACAGAGAAACCCTGTCTCGAAAAACCAAAAAAAAAAAAAAAAATACCATAGCAATATTCACTTTTCTTTGAGAGACTCCTATGGTAAGGCCAGGTATATGGCAAGGCCCTCATGTTTGGGGTATAGGAAAGTACATCATCACTGAAGGAATTGAGGTGATGCTGTGGGTTGAATTGTGTTCCCCTAGAAATAGTTCTGAACCTCTTGGCATGTAATCTAATTTGGCAGATATAATTAGTTAAAATGAGGTGATGAGGTCTATTGTAGGGTAGACCTATAAAACAGTGTTACTACTTAGAGTCATATGAAGACTCAGGCCCAAGGACACCATTGAGGGTGTCCTTGTTATTGACCAGTTATTGCCAGCTGTCACAGGAACCCGGAAAAAGGGTATGGAACAAATTGTCCCTCAAAGCCCTGAGACAAAAACAAAACAAAACAAAACAAAAAAACCAACCAAACAAAAACCAAAAAACCAAGCTGTGACATTCTGGTCTTAAGAAAATGTTTGCTGGCTAAGCCCACCAATATGTGGTATTTTGTTGTGCTCCCTGACCTGAGTCATGTGATCAGCCTCATTGAAATCTTGTAGAGTGTTGGAGTGCTGTCTCAAACAGCGGAGTAGAGCTGAGGCCATAGCTCAGTGGTGCGGTGTTTGCCAAGTCTGCCATTTGTTCCACAGCATCAAAATGGTAAGTCACAGTGTATTTCCCAGTACTAACAAGAAGAAACTGGGAAGTAAAGATTTAAAATATCACATGTATGATGTCCCCAAACATTTACATTTAAATACAAACATAAAAATATACAGGGCCTCTCCACTGAAGATATTTAATATTGCTATGAAAAATGTAAAAGTTGTTAACAAAATCTCATTGTTAACATTAAGGTTTGCCTCTAAGTTCATCTATACAATCAGTTGAAATCAGTGCAGGGCAAAATCACAGATTGTGTGTGTGTGTGTGGCGGGGGTGGAGGTGTTGAAAATAGAATATGACAAGCTTATTCTAAAAATACCTAGATATGTCCATTGTTGAATATTTACTACTGAGTATTCGATTTGATTTTGAATGGCTAAGTAAAGGAGTTAAATTGAAGATCTTTCTTAAAACGATTTATTGTCATCTTATGTATATGGGTTTTACCTACATGTATATATGTGTACCACATGACTGCCTATTGCCCGTGGAAACTGGAAGAGGGTATTAGTTTCCCTGGAACTGGAGCCACCATGTGGGTGCTGGAAACTGAACCTGAACAGCAAGAACTCCTAACCACTGAGTCATCTCTCCAGTGAGCCATCTCTCCAGTCCCTAAAGTTGAAGGTCTTAATTTTTAGGACTTCAAAATTACAGCAATCAGCCAGGCGTGGGGACCAATGCCTTTAATCTCAGCACTTTGGAAGGCAGGTGCATCTCTGAGTTTGAGGCTAGCCTGGTCTACAGAGCAAGTTCTAGAACAGCCAGGGCTATACAGAAGAACCTTGTCTTGGAAAGAAGTTACACTAATCTAGATAGAGTCTTGGTATGTAAAGGTGCTTGGCACCAAGCCTGGTATCTTGAGTTTGTTCCCTAGAACCCACGTGGTGGATGAAGAGAACCGATTCCCACAAATCGCCCTCTGACCTCTACATGTTTCATGGCCTGTGCACGCACAGGCATGTACACACACACACACACACACACACACACACACACACACACACACATACGTGGATTTATGATAAGAGGTAAAAGCAATTCAATAGGTAAATAGTTGGTTTTCTACAGATGATCCTAGAAGAACTTTACCTCCATTAAGTTGGGATGGGCACTTCTGACTCTACCTCACACCATACACAAAATGATGTTTCAAGAAGGTTCTGTATTTAGAAGTCAAACCAGAGATCTGTGACCACTGCCCATCCCAGCTTTCCAATGCATGCACATTCCATGCTGACCCTCCCATCCACCTGTGAAGTCTGAGACCTTTATGTAGCATGAATCCTAATTGGTCTTACAATTAAAAACCCGGAGCCAGATATTAGGGTAAATGCTGAAAGATCAGAGGAAACAAGCCACAGCCACTTCTTACTTCACCAACTCCTCAGCCCAAAGGTTTTGTCTCCACAAATCCTCAGACTGAATACCCAAGTCCTCTCCCGCCTTACATTCCTTTCTCCGCCCAGCCATATCACTTCCTGTCTCCACCTTGCTAGTGCTGGGATTAAAGGCATGTGACTCCCCAGTATTGCGATTAAAGGTGTGAGCCCTTACCACCTGGCTCTGTTTCTCTTAGACTGGATTAATCTCGTGTAGTCCAGGGTGGCCTTGAACTCACGAGAGATCCATCTGCCTCTGTCTCCTGAGTACTAGGGTTAAAGGTGTGTGCCACCACTGCCTGGCCTCTGTGGCTAACTCTGGCTGGCTATGCCCTCTGATCTTCAGACAAAGTTTATTTGTTAGAGCATACAGAGAATATCACCACACCCTTGCACTCAGCCTCTTGGTACAGCCCACTTGAACTGACCGGTCCGTGTGAGGTCAGAGACCCACAACTCCATTCGTTAGTGTCCTCCCCCGCACCCCAGCCACCTGTGAGTTAACTAGCCAAGCCAGGATGGCCTCAGATCACACCACTCAAAATTTTCTATGAGACTGAACTTCACCCAGCCAAGCCAAGCCAAGCCAAGCCAAGCTGGGGTAACAGCAAATACCACACCAAGCATTCAACACAACTTTCAAGAACTGTAAGGTCAGAACCCATCTACAGAGCCACTTCCAGACTTCAAGACCAGTGTATGAGCCAGTAACCACCTAAGACACAGTTCCAGAATTGTCATCAAATTGAGAGAAGACAAAGTGAATGTCCATCATAGGACCTCAGCTGTTAAGAAGCCAAGACAGGAATGTAAGACACCACAGAGGGAACACAGCAGTGAGGGGTTCTACTCTGGAGCTCTGTCTAGTTTTGCAGTTGGAAGTTTACTCTAAGGCGGTGGTTCTCAACCTTCCTAATACTGTGACCCTTTAATGTGGTGACCCCCAAACTTAAAGTTATTTTGTTGCTACTTTATAACTGTAATTTTGCTACTGTTGTGAACTGTAATGTAAATATCTGATGATATGTGACCCCCGTGAAAGGGTGGGTCAACCCCCACAAAGGGGTTGTGACCCACAGGTTGAGAAGCACTGCTCTAAGATGAGGTCTGGGAATAGAATACCAGCCTAATGGAGAAAGAACAGCTTACCATAGCACAACCTGGTTCCTGCAGAACACCACAGGAAGAAAGTAACAAAAACCAAGGTCCAAGCTGCTGATGTGCAAGTCCCAAAAGCAACAACAAACAACTATCAGTCCCAGAGTGAGTACAAAAGATGTAGATGTGACTCCAGATAAAGAATTTTTTTTTTTTTTTTTTTTTTTTTTTTGAGACTAGGTTTCTCTGTGAAACAGCCCTGGCTGTCTTGGAACTCCCTATGTAGACCAGGCTGGCCTCGAACTCACAGAGATCCACCTGCCTTCGCCTTCCGAGTGCTGGGATTAAAGGTGTGCTCCACCACTGCCTGGCACCATACAAAGAATTTTATAAAGTGGCTACAAATGTATTCAAACAAACGAATAAGAACAGAAATAAGCTGTTGATGGAAATAAGGAAAGCAGTACAGGATTGGGAGGGGGGGAAAAGATTAAAAATACTAGGAAAAAAATCTGAAATGCTGGAGATGAAATTTTCAGTAAATAGCTCAATGGAAAGCCTTACCAATAGATTAGACTATGAGAAGGGCAGAATTCAGAAGTTTAAGACAAAATGGAAGAGTTGGAATTTTTAGTTAAAGGCATTAATTTTTTTGAAAGTATGAATGGAACATGTGAAATCTTTGGTATATCATGAGAAAGCTGAATTTACAAATATGGGCATAGAAGTACAAGAACTCTATTCCAAAGGCATAGAAAATATTTTCGATACAATCATAACAAAATTCTGCAAATCTAGGGAAAGAGGGACCCATCCAGGTACAAGCAGTTTACAGTATAGACAGGACCACAGTAAAAACTTCACACCATATCACAGTTTAAACACCAGATACACTGAGTAAAGGTGTATGAAACTTGCAAAAGGGAAACACCAAATTTCATGTAAAGGCAGGCTCATCATAACAGCTGATTGCTCCACAGAAACTCAAGGACCACAGCTGGGAACCGAAACTAACCCAGCAAAGCTATCATGTGTGAGGGAGAAAGAAAAATATACCATGATAAGGGCAGACTAAGAGTTTATAGCCACCACGTCAGCTCCACCAAGGATACTGGAAGGAATTCTTTGGAATAAAAAAGATAAACACATCCAAGAAGTCAAAAAATGGATGATGATAGGGCAGTTACAAGAAAACAAACCAAAGACTATAAAACACACTTTTCAGTACGATTTTGTATTTTATTGGTCTAAGTTTCCAGATCAAAAGACATGCTAGCAGGTTAAATGAGAAAACAGGATCCCTATTTTCCTCTGAAAAGCTCATCTAACCGAAGATAGAGGCTTCCTTGGGGTGAAAGGATGTGCAAAAGTATTTAAGCAAATGGAACCAGTCAGCAAGCAGGTATCACATACTAGTTTTATGTTTCTGTGATAAAGTGCCATAATTAATGGAACAAAGAAGAAAGAATTTATTAAGGCTTACAGCTCCAGAGGGTTAGAGTTGATGGTGGCAGAGCAGAGGTGGCAGGTGTGGAGGATGAAACAGCAAGCTGAGAGCTAACGTCTTGAACTGGAAGGAAGAATTGTAGAGAGTGAACTAGGAATGGAGTTAAGTCTCTTAGCTCTCAAAACCCTCCTCCAACGACACACTTTCTCCATCAATCTCACACCTCCTAAGCCTCTCCAAACAGCACCACCAACTAGGGGACACACATTCAAATGTCCAGTACTATGGGGGACATCTCATTCCAGCCACCACATACCACTTTTAATATCTGACAAAATAGACTTCAGACTGAATCAGAAGAAATAAAGATGGCATTACACTGATTGAAGGAATAATTCAAGAAGATTGCAGCTCTAACATGCACATATGGAGTACAGGTGCTCCCAATGTCATAAAACAGGCACTACTACCACAACAAAGTAACCCAACACAGTGATCAATAGTGTAGGTAATGTCAATACCTCAGTTTCACCAATAGGTCAGACCAAAAATAAAGAGAAACGTTGGCATTAAAGGACACCATGGGTTAAGTGTACTTCAAACTCATTTGCAGATTCTATGCAAACACTACAGAATACACATTCTTCTTAGTAGTCCATGAGACTTAAGCTAAAATAGATTATATCAGGAATAATAACAAGTCTCAACAAATATAGGAAAATTGAAATACTTGTACTTTTCTCTGACCAGCTAGAAATCAGCAAAAGAACCAGCAAACTTGTGGAAATTGAACAGCACACTGTTGAATGACAACGGGGTCATTAAAGAAATCAAGAAGGAAATTTAAAGGGTCCTAGAATTCAATGAGAGCAGAAATACAGCATACAAAATCCTATGGGATACAATGAAGGCAATTCAGTCCTAAGAGGTAAATTTGTAGCTCTAAGTGTCTGCATTGCAAAGTGAGAGATCTCAAGTAAATAATGTTGTGTGCACCTTAGGGCCGTGGAAAAACAAGGGCAAACCCAACCCGAAAGTAGGTGATAGGAAGGAATTATTAAGACCATTGGAGAAACTAATGGAATAGAATGAAAACAACAACTAAATAAATAAAACACAAAATAAAGGATTAATGAGGGCTGGTGAGATGGCTCAGTGAGGAAATGCACATGCCACCACACCCAACAACCTGAGTTCAATCCCCAGGACCCACAGAGTGGAAGGTGAGACCCAAGTCCTTCAAGTTGTCTGGTCTGAATGTGTGTACCATATGCAGGTTTATCCTCACAAATAAACACACACACAAATAAATGAAAAAATATGAATGAATTAATGAAAAAAGAATTGGTCCTTTGAGAAGATAAATGAAATAGACAACCCTTAGACAAGTTAACCAAAAGAAATAGAATACTCAATAAGGTTAGGTGAAAAGGGATATAACAGATACCAAGGAAATTCAGAAAATCATTATG